CAGCACGGCCCGGGGGCACGAAGGCGGTCACCGGCTGGGGCGGAGGGGGCGGTGGGAAGAGGGGGTGGCGTTGCAGCATCGCTGCTGCCGAGCAGGTCTCGGCTCTCCTCCCCCTCCATCCGGACTCGTGGGGCTCCCCGTGCGATCCCTGAGTGGGACACAGTGGGGGCTCCCTGCGGGGATGGGGCTCTGCAGAGGGTGGGTGGGACCCACCACCCTCCTGCTGCCTCGCCGTGTCTCATTCCTGGGCCAGTCTGACTCCTTCCCCCTCATTCGATCCCGGGGAATGCTGAGCACCCCTCTGCCCACACACGGCCAGGCGAGGGGGCATGGGAGTGATGCGGGTGGGTGATCCCCTCCTAACCCCCTCCTGCCCTCATTCGAGCACCCCAATGCTCCCCTCCTGCACCCCAAGCACCAGCTGCTCCCGCTGTGTCCCCTGGCCCGGCCCCCTGGATGTGCAGCCACACCTCAACCTCAAGACAGAGGCTGGAAATGTCCCCAGGATGTCCCCGAGGGGCTCAGCCAGGGCCACACAGACCCGGCCCTGCTGCTGTGGCACGTTCCCAGGACAGCACAGAACACACAGTGCTGGGCACTGCCCACCCACCACCTCCACGAGGCCACACACATGAGGTGACCCCAGCACAGGGTCCAAGGTCTCCCAGTGCCTGGACCTCCCCGGGGCAGCTCTGCAGTGAGAAACTCCCTTGGAGAAGTCCAAGATCCTCCCAGTCTGACACAGAGAGGAGGAGGGTGACACCTGGACAGCTGAGCACGTGGCAGCTTCACCCGTATTCCACAGCCCCTGGATTTCAGCCATCCCCCCCTCCAGAAGGAAAAAGGCAGCAAACACCCACCAGCAGAAACCAGCTGCAGTTTAATGGCTGCTCTGGGGGAAGGGCTGAGGTGGGACTGGAATCGTGGCAGCATTTTTATACTTGAGGGTCAGGAGCAGATGCACAGAGGGGGATCGGTGCCTACTGAGGGTGATGGAGAACTCCCCACACCCTCGTGCACAGAGGAAACGTGGATCTGTGCTGGGAGCAGCCCCAGCCCCCTGCTCACCACCAGATCGGTGTTGACAGAGACACTTTCTGCTCCAACATGATTTTTGGATGAGGGACCTCCCTGGGCCCCTCTGGCCAGAGCAGGTCCCTCTAGTCCTGGGGCTGTTCCAGACTCTCCCCTCCCACAGGAACTAGGGGTCAGGGAGCTGTGGCTGCAGCCCCAGACACGCTCCTGGGGGGTCTCCAGAGCAGAACCTTTGGCATGGCAGAGGTACAAGGCACTGTCAGCACCCAGCACACAGCACGGCCCGACAGAGTCCTCCCACGGGAGATTCCCCACCTCCAGGAAACACTGACGGTGTCTCTGCTGAGCCAGGGGCCTTTCTGAAGGCAAATCCCTCTGCCAGAGAGGAGGGGCACCCAGTTCCATCCCCCAGCGCTCCCGGGCAGGCAGGAGGAGGAGGGGATTCATCCGAAGGAGCCCGAGGTGGATGCTGAGAAGCCATCGGGGAACACGGAGGATGCTCAGACTCCTGGAGCACGGGGAGGGCAGTGCTGGACATGCTGGGCAGGGGCTGTGTGACACTGGCACGGAGCAGCAGGGGGGTCACCCCGGGAAGGCGCTCCCGGCCCAGCCTACCCGCTGTGGAAGATGCGGACGCGCTGAGCGATGTCCCGGCGGCACAGGGGACACGAGAGCAGCCGCTCGCAGCAGCTCTGGCAGCAGCAGACGTGGCCACAGGGCAGAAAAATCATCTGGGGCTGCGGGAAGAGACGCAGGAGAGGACATGGAGAGGGCTGCTGGCCCCTAACACCCATCCCAGCCCAGGGTGTCAGTGTGGGAGGCGGAGCCCCACAGCCCAGCTCAGCCCCGGGCTGTGCCGAGCGGGAGTGACAGGACCCGGGGAAGGACACGGGACAGGGGTGAAATGACCAGCCCCACGAACACTTCCCACAGCTGCTGGATGGACAGACAGCACAGGAGCTCAGCGAGGTCCTGCCCAAGCCTGCACAGAGAGGGCTCTGTCCTCTCTCCCTCCCTCCCTGCTGCAGTGCCCGGGAGCTGGAGGGATGAGCACCCAGGAGCCAGGGGATGTGCTGGATGCTGCCCTCACCCCACCCCTGCTCCAGCCCCAGCTGCCCCAGGGTCTCACCTCCTGTTCCATGCACACAACGCACTCCGACTTCCTCTCCTCCCACTGCAGAGGTGGGGCCGTGGGGCCCTCGGGGCTCGGGGGCTCCTCCAGGGGAGCACTGGGCTCTAGGGCTGCAGGGACCTCGGTGTCCACCCCCCTCTGCAGCTCTGCAACCACAAACAGGAGGTCTGAGCACCTGGAGAGCTGCCCATGCCCACCCAGCACACGTGGGGAGGGCTGCAAGCACAGGGGTCCAAGAAATCAGGAACTCAGAGGGACCAGCTCGATAGCACAGCCCTTCCTGCCCCCCTCCTCACAGAGCAGCCCTGCACAGCTCCACTGCCATCTGACCCACAGACCTCTCGGGTACCTGCTGTGAGTGTAAAACATGTCAAACACAGGGAGAAGAGAACTGGGGGTACCTGGGATGGTCTTGGCCACAGCCAGGATCTCCTGAGCCCTCCTGAGGATGGCACGCTGCAGGCCAGCCTCCACCACACCGAGCTGTGGGGCAAGAGCAGGCTGTTAACTCCACAGGGGACAGGGGGCTGATGGCCCTAAGGGGACACTGCAAACTCTGGGGCCTCGCTGACAAGACCCGGCCACGCCAAAAGAAGCCCCTCCACCAGGCACCAAAGCCAGACAAGGGAATTCCCCGGTGCCATTTCTACTTAAAGAGCATCTGAAGGATGTCTGAAGATGCAGCCAGGCTGCAGCTCACCCTGCAAGTCCCTGGGACAGCCACTGCTCACAGGGCCAGGCCCAGAGCAGTGAGGGCACTTTGCCCTGCTGGGAGGTGACACCCCAGAGCACCAACCCTCGTCCTGCCAGCCCTGCCGGGCACAGGGGGCTGCAGGCAAGGGCAGGGTCAGTCTGTGGTGGTGTTGTTGTTGTCCCACACTGTGGATCTGCTGGCTCATACCTTTTCCAGGTCACTGGCAGTCATGGTGCCAAGAGCCTCCAAGGACAGGCGGTGGTGCGCGAACACGGGCAGGTACTGCTCAGCACAGAGCTCCAGCAGCAGGGCCACCAGCTGCTGCTCCAGACCCTGCTCCTGCAAGACACAGCGTGCCCCTGAGGCCAGGCAGCAGTGTGCTCATCCCTGCCCTGCTCCAGGCATTCTGCATCCCCAACACACGAGAGCCTGAAAGCCCAACAGCTGGAGCAGCTCCGGCCCCAGGGGTTTCATGAGCACAATTCAAAACGCTGCGGTCTGGGAGTCACAGAACACCCTGAGCTGGAAGGGACCCACAGGGATCATCCAGTCCAACCCCTGGCCCTGCACAGACAACCCCAACAATCCCATCCTGTCCCTCAGAGCCTTGTCCAAACCCTCCTGGAGCTCTGGCAGCCTTGGGGCTGTGCCCACTGCCCTGGGGAGCCTGGTCAGTGCCAACCACCCTCTGGGGGAAGAACCTTTTCCTGAGATCCAACCTGACCCTGCCCTGGCACAGCTCCAACTGCTCCCTGAGGTCCTGTCACTGCTCACAGGGACCAGAGCTTGGAGCTGCCCCTCCTGAGGAAGCTGCAGACCATACTGAGTCTCCCCTCATGAACCAAAGCACCACTCTGGCAGCACCTGCTTTGCCAGCTCTGCATGGGCAGAGTTCAGATCCATCTCCCTGTGCCCACCCTGGGGGTGTTTACCAGCACAAAGTCCTGGCTCAGGCCGTAAGGGCAGGAGTAGCCACATGGAGATGGATCTGCAGGGAAATTTGGGGAGCCAAGCAGAACCATTTGGGTGTTCAGGTGGAATGAGAAGCCCTGCCTGGAGGCTACTGAGAGTCCTCTGCTGCTGGCCAGCAGTTTGAGGGTGGGACAGCAGCTCCTGCTGGGAACATTGAGCTGTTGGCTCTGGACAGAGCTGGGCAGCCCCATCCCCTCCACGGGCAGGAATGAGGGAGCTCAGAGCCCCATGGGCAGCCCGGGGGCTGTGTGAGGGGTCTGGGCCCTGCTCCCAGGGGGACATGTGGGCTCAGGGGCTGCCCTTGCTCCCCCCTCATTTCAGAGAGAGCACAACCACAGTGGGAGCAGTGACAACAGCAGCACCTGGAGTTTCAGGGAGAGGGGCTTCTGGTTCAGCAGGCGCTGGTACTGGATCAGCCAGTAGTTCTCCTGCTTGGTTTCACTCTTTGCCTCCATTTCCAGCTGAAAAACAAATTCATTCATTCAACAGCCCGAGGGAACACGGCCAGGGGGGTTTAGGGAAGCTGGAGCTGGATGTGCAGGAGGGGAACCCACAGCCTGGGCTGAGCAGGGCCCAGCCAGAGCCCTGTGAGGGGAAATGGGCACTTCTGGCCTTTGCAGGCTGGTCCCACTTTGATCCCCCCAGCCAGTCCAAAGGTGCATCCCCCCACTCCCTTTGCCCCAGACATTGGGCTCCCAAAGCTCAGGAGAGCCTGGTGTCTGCAGGATTGCAGGAACACAGGCAGGGAGGGCCCTTGTGGGATTGTGCTCATCCCCCTGACAGCAGCCTTTCCTGACAGGGGACACTGATGATAATGGTGCCTCATGCTGCACCAGGGAGTGGTGCTGTGCCCCCCAGAACTCACATTAGAACCTTCTGGAACTGAATTGGCCTCTGGATCTGGACACAGCCCGCAGAGCCCTGCTCTGCTCCTCTTTATTCCCACCCCACTCTGCTCCCCTTTACTCCCACACTGACCCGGGGACTCTTCCTGCAGCCAACCCAAACACCTCCTCATCTACAGCACCTAAGGAGGGGCTTCATTACCAGGATTTGTTGCAGTTCTTCCTCCCTCTGCTTCTTCTCCTTGAGCAGCTGTTCCAGCAGGCAGCCGAGTGCCTGGCGCTGCTCCGCCACCGCCTCCTGCAACGGGAGGGCTCTGGCACCCACAGGTCCCACCACGGGGCTGCCACCCTGCCCCTGCCCAGCACAGCACTTACCAGACCCAAACCAGGCACTGTGGGTGTGGAATCCCTGTGCTCCACAGCCTCTCCCAGCAGCTGGCACGGCAGAGCTGAGCTGAGCCCCTTCCCTTCAGTCCTGCACTGCCCTGTACCTGGCAGTGCCACCCCCAGCACAGCCTGGGCAGCCCCAGCCCACAGCAGCTGCAGCAACTCCAAATCACTCCATCAGAACTTCAGCCAAAGGCACTGCAAGTGTTCATGGTCCCACTGTCTGGAATCATGGAATCCCAGACTGGTTTGTGTTGGAAAGGACCTTAAAGCTCACTCGTTCCATGCCCTGTCATGGGCAGGGACACCTTCCACCAGACCAGGTTGCTCCCAGCCCAGTCCAACCTGTCCTGGTCTGAGAAAGACCACCTGAAAGTAGGTCTAGAAGCCTGCAGGTAAGGACAGGTAAGGTGGGAACCTCCCCATGCCTTTGGGGAGCTTCCTTTCCCTGGGGTCTCACCCCAAGCACCGCCAGGTCCCAGGGCCAGGTCAGGCATCCCTGGAGCCACACCCTGGCAATGGAGAGGTTGGTGGGCTTGGGAATGTCCAGCCATGGGGCATCTCTGCATGGCTCAGTCCCAGCTCACTCAACCTGCCAGGAGGATCATTCCCAGTGCTCATCAGCCACAAGGACTCAGATGTCCATGGACAGAGGGACAGTGATAGATACTGAAGTTTGGGGAAACCTTCATGGATCATAGAATCCTGGAATGGTTTGGTTGGAAGGGACCTTAAAGCTCATTCGTTCCACCCCTGCCATGGGCAGGGACACCTTCCACTAGCCCAGGTTGCTCCAAGCCCTGTCCAGCTGGGATCAGCACCTGGACCCTGCACAGGGACAAGATCCTGTTGGACAGAGGAACACCTGCCTGTCACAGGCCAAACCCACCACCTGGTGACCAGAAACACTTTGCCCTGATGGAGGCAGGAGGCATCAGGACCTCCACAGAAGGGAGAGGGACAACTGGTGACTGGTGGGAGCTGTTCCAGTCCCTTCAGCCTTGGGGTGCCCTCCCTGCTCACGGCACTGCGGAGACTCGCCGGGATCCTCCCACAGACCTGTGCCAGCCCTTCCCCAGGATGTCTCTGTTCTTCCCAAACATCTATCAAGGTCATTACTAAAGCACCTTATCCCGGGGTGAAGCACCTGGTTCTGCACCTGGCTGCAGAAAAGCTTCTGCCAAGGCACTTCTGGGCACTGCCCGTGCCCTGGGGGATCAACCCCAGCAGGGCCCCTTTGGCTGCAGACCACCAAGGGCAGGGGGATCCAGAGACATCCAGGTGTCCATGCCTCAGTTCTTGGCTCCCAGTGCTGAAGCTGCAGGTGGGTACCTGGGCAGAGCTGTTTCCTGCAGCTCCTGTGTTCACCAGTCACACAACCCTGGTGTCACCTGAATTACACCTGCCTGGGCCTCCCTGGTCTGCCCTGCACGAACTCTGGGTGGTCCTTCACCCTGTGCCCCCCAACACCACAGAGGAGCTGTGTGAGGTCAGGCAGCACAACCCAAATCTTACCCCTGAAGGGCCCAGCACCGGGCTCAGGGGCAATCCTGCCTCGGGTCAGCACTTCCCATGCTGTGTGCCTGCTCTGGGAAAGGACACGGCCTTGGTACTGACTTGGGGCTGACTGAACAGGTGGCCTGACCTGGCACAGGGCACACAGAAGAAAACAAGTGATGTAAAGGCATTGTAGCAAAATCTAAAGCCAAGCTGCTTAAGCTAAACCTGACATTCCTCGGTGTGTGACTGCTGATGGAGGCAGCCCATCAAACGGTGGGATGGTGGGGCAGAGCCCAGGAGAAAAGGCTTAGGAATGAAGGGGGGAGCTGGAGCCATCACTGGCAGGTATGTAAAACCAAAACACAGCACAATGTAAGAAGATGTGATGCACAGCAGGCAGGTGTTCTGGGGACAGCCAACAACCGGATCACAAACTCCTTCCCCGCCCAGCACACCTGGAACTGCCCATCCCTGTCAGGGCTCCTCTCTCTCCCCTGGAAAAGCAGTTTGGGAGCAGAAGCAATGTTCCCACAGCACAAAGAGGGGTTGGTGGTGTCCTGGGGGGAAGTACCTTCTGACTAAGCACAAAACCACCTGGAAGCTGCAAGGAGCAAAGGAAGCAGTGGAGCTGTGGCAATCCCAGAGCAGAGGGGGGGGCAGCCCCAGAGCCCCACGTACCTGCAGCGTCTCTGTGTCCAGTTCTTGCCTCTTTAACTCCAGCTGTGTCAGCTGCAATAACTCTGTTTCTATTAATTTAATCTAAACAGAAGATGAAACATTTTTTACTGACATTTGAAATTACTTTAATTTATGCTCTTTCAAAATGAGGTCTGACTGGTGCCCTGGCAGGGGTGGCACTGCAGAGGTTGGGGGGAGCTGCTCATGCCCCTCAGTGATGTGTGTGCTCAGGGTCACTCTTCCTTTGCCTGAGGAACTGTGTCCCCCACTCTCTAATTGTCTCTCTACTCTAAACACCTTCTGTTCAAGTCTAGAACCAGTTTGTGCACCCAAACCTTTGCAGCCACTCTGGAAGGCAGAGCCAGAGCCCTGCCAGCACCAAAGCTCAAACTGCAGATTCCTGGGGCAAGGCCCTGTTTCCAGATGCTCCAGCAATCCCATAATGATACCTGCTCTTCCAGGAGGGACAATTGGGACACAGAGAGGTGGAGTGAGTTGCAGTGAGTTGCCCAAGATGCCAGAGCAAAGCCAAGATGAGAGCCCAGCTCACCCACCTGCCAGGCCATCGACTGTCCCCAGGCCACCAACGCCTGCCACCGACCATGGAGCTCCCTGGCCCTGGGGCTCTGCCCCTTCCCTGCCCCTGCACCACCTCCAGGGTGGGCTGGCTCCAAGGGTGAAAGGTTCCTTGCTATCAAGGAACAAATCTCCTTTGTCTACAGAGCAAGTGGGATCAAACTGCAGGGCTCTTGTGGGTGAGCTCAGGTGAGGATGGAGAGTTTTCACTCGTCTCCTGGGTGTGGTCTGTGCACAGTTCATGGGCTTCCAGCAGAGATTGGTCACTGGGTGACTAAAAATATCCAAGCTCTTAAGATTATCCACCAAATCTTGACTTGAGACTTCTCTGCTAGTGTCTGATGAGGAGAGGGAAGATTCTGGAGCACTGTGTCAGAAACCAGCAACCCACCTTCCTGCATCATCCACTGCTACCTTCCCACCTTCCTGCATCATCCACTGCTACCTTCCCACCTTCCCACCCTCCTGCATCACCCACTGCTACCTTCCCACCCTCCTGCATCATCCACTGCTACCTTCCCACCCTCCTGCATCACCCACTGCTACCTTCCCACCCTCCTGCATCATCCAGTGCTAATTTCTCCACCAGCTCCTGTTCTTACCCCCAACTATAGCATTGCACCTTTTGCAGAATGGAGCTCACAAACAGGCTGAGAATGGGAAAGAAAAGGTGAACTCATGGCCCGAGGGGCAGTTCTGATGTGCTGGATGGAGATGCAGTGGACTCATGTGCAAACAGCAGCCCTGCCAAGCACACAGCCCAAAAGAAATCATAGTTGCAATTGCAGATCACCCCCCAGAGCCAGTGCAGGTCTGTCCTCTAGTGACAGCTCTCCAGTGCTTCACCCACCAGTGCTGAGGTGACTGACTGAAGCAATGGCAATGCCACCACCTCCAGGAACCTAAAACCTGCTTTGACACTCCCTCCCTTGGAGCTGGGAGACTGGAGTTAAACCAACACTGCCCAACTCTGCACTCCAGAGCTCTCAGCAACACCAGAGCCCTTCATATCCTGCAGCCCCTGCTCTGTGCTCACAGCACTTTGCTCTTCCTCACGAGGGTCTCACTGAACAGTGAGGAGCTGGTTGCTCTTTCCTCTGTTGTTGACTCACCTGGTTCCTGATCTGCCGGTGCATAAGATCCTTCTTCACCTGGAGAGCTTCAAAGGCAGCTTTCTGCATCTCAATCTACAGGACAGGCAAAATCCTGCTCAGTGAGGTGGTTCATGCAGTTGCTAATGGGCTCAGAAACTGCTGCCTGGCAGGGACTCAGGTGCTTGGGCAAGCAGTGCTTGCTCTGGGCAAGTGTCCTGTGACCATGACTGAGAGCCCAGAGTCCCAACAGGTAAAACCCATCTTACAGACACACAGAGAAATGTTCATGTTCTTCAAACACACATCTGGAGTGCTCTGTATGACCCCCACCTCCCCCCTTCAGCAGCACTGAGCCCCCAGGCTGTGCCACAGGGTTGCCAAGGCTGCCCAGCACTTCTGAAAACTGAGCTTTGGAAATGCTTCCTGTGGGCAGCTTGTCCCAAACCACCCAGGAAACCAGCCAAAAGACAGGACTTCTGTCTCAAAATCCTCTCTATCAATCATCAGAACAATTTTGCTTCCCATGGTCTGTGCTTCTGTTTTTTCTAAAAATTTGCTGCCCAGTTAAAAAATAAAACCATTTTTCCTTCAGCCGCCCACGTGAGTTTGTTAGGACACCAGAGATTCTTAAAGTTTAGCATGAAGGGTTAAATAAAATAACTTTTCATGCAGCCCAGCCTCTGCTGCTCCTGTGACCCACTGTGGATCCTGCTTTCACATGCAGCTGCTTCCCCTCAATCCCTCATGAGCAGTTTGCTCCCTTCCCTACCTGCTGCAGGATCTGACTGACAGCTTTGTTCTGATCCAGCTGTTGCCAATCCAGGATTTGCTGGAACTTCTGATCCATCTCAGCTAGGCTGCAAGGAGATGGAGTTAATGCTGGGCCTGGGACTCTTGGGGCAAACCAGAGGAAAAGCAGGCAATGGGGAGTGCAGGTGGAGAATGTGTTACTGAACATAAGGACTGCACAGCTGAAGGCCACAGATTTAACACCTCCTTCCTACACCCACACAGGCCCTGGGGGGCAGGTCACAGGCTCACAAGGTTGTTTCTGGAGCACCCCCAGTCCCAGCCACCCCTGTACCTGGAGCAGGCCTGGCTGACGAGGTCTTGCCGACGAGACTCGTAGGTCACTTGGAGGAGCTTGTTCTTGTAGGTCTCAGCCAGCATTTGCTGCATGGCAGCTGGGGACAGAAGGGCTGTCAGTGCCTCCCTGTCCAGGACAGGCACTCACTGCCAAATAACAGAGCCCTCTCTCTCATTGCGACCTGCCCTTGCTGCTCCTGTTTCATTCACCTCAGAGCAGACCCCTCCAGCTGCAAGAATCGTGGCTATTTATTGTGAAATTAGCTGAGGGAACTCCACTCTGCCTGTGCTTGCATCTCTTCAGGGCTCAGAGGAGCCCAGTCGCTGCCTCCCAAGCCTCAGATCACAGAACAACAGAATCTCCTGGGAAGTAGGAAGGGACGCCCAAGGACCATCCAGTCCAACTCCTGGCCCTGCACAGACACCCCAACAATCCCACTCTGTCCCTCAGGGCATTGTCCAAACCCTCCTGGAGCTCTGGCAGCCTTGGGGCTGTGCCCACTGCCCTGGGGAGCCTGGTCAGTGCCCAACCACCCTCCGGGGGAAGAAATTTCCCTGAGATCCAACCTGACCCTGCCCTGGCACAGCTCCAGCCGTTCCCTGGGTCCTGTCACTGCTCACAGAGAGAAGGGAGCAGTTGGGCTGTAGCTCTGCTGTGCCACTGCCAGTCACCCATCCTTGGGGTGCCCCTTTTCCCTTGCACCCTGTTCATGGTCAGCATGAGCAGAAAAGGCTCCTCAGCACCATTCTTGTTCCCCAGACACGAACCTGGTGGGTTCACATCTGTTGGGCACCTCTGGAATAAGAAGCACTTTGTGTGTTATATCCAGTCTCACCAGCTCCTCTGGTGACAGGCTGTGGCTACAGGGAGCATGGTTTGTACCTCCAGGAGAACCAGCAGTGAGCTGCAGGTGGCAGGCATGGATCAGCTCTGCCCCATTGCACCGAGGACCACATCAGAATGAGTGTGTGACAGCACAATGTGTGTGTGCCAGAACATCTCTCAGGTGGTTGTCACCCATCCAGTGCTTCTCTAGAGGAACCAGGTCTTCCACAGAATCACAAAATTGTTAAGGTTGGAAATGACCATTAAGATCCTCAAGTCCAACCATCAGCATCACCACCATGTCCACCACTAATCCATGTCCTCAAGTGCTGCATCCACATGTTTTTTGAACACCTCCAGGGATGGTGACTCCACCACTGCCCTGCACAGCCTGTGCCAATGCTGGACAACCTTTTCCATGAAAAAAAGGTTCCTAATATCCAACCTGGCCCTCCCCTGGTGCAACTTGAGGCCGTTTCCTCTCATCCTGTCCCTTGTTCCCTGGGAGCAGAGCCCGCCCCGCCCCCGGCTCCCCTCTCCTGTCAGGGAGTTGTAGAAAGCGAGAAGGTCCCCCTTGAGCCTCCTTTTCTCCAGGCTGAGCCCCCCCAGCTCCCTCAGCTGCTCCTGGTGCTCCAGAGCCTTCACTTCACCACCCCAAAGACTTGTCAGGACTCACAGGCCACTTCCCGTCTGCGCAGCTGCTCCGTCTCCTCCTGGGTTATTGCCATCAGCTGCTCCATCCTAATCCTGCCCAACAAACAGCAACAGTTCAGCCACTCCTTCAGATGAGCCCTTCTCCACCCACCCAGCTCAGAGCCTCCAGGCTGGGCAGGTTTGCCCTGCCACCAGCTCAGGGAAGCTGGGCTTAGCAGAGACACCAAAGCCTGGGTGATTTTTTGGTGAGGAACCTCCGAGTTTATGAGAGACAACACAAATTTTGCTCAAAACCATGGGGACAATGGCTTTTGACAGGAGAGCTGGTCTTTCTGAGAGACAGAACATCCACACAGCGTGCACACACTCTCCCCAAACACAGTGCCAGTCCTTGGCTTTCCTTTCTCCTGAGGTAGGATGAGCCCAAGTGAGCAGTGCCACTGCCTGGCCTCCCTCCTCACCACCCCATCCTTGTCCCAGCACACAAACACACACAGCAGGTCAGGAGCTGGTGTGGTTGGAGAGCAATCTGACACACACTGGGTGGTTTTCATCCAGGTCACTGGGCCCAGCACAGTTGGCTGCGGGGAGGGGGCAGTTCCAGGCAGGGCAGAGCTGGGGACAATCACTTTGGGTGGCAGAGTTGGCTCAGAGTGTTGGCTGAGTGGCAACCTGGTCTAGTGGAAGGTGTCCCTGCCCATGGCAGGGGATTGAAACAAGATGAGCTTTAAGGTCCCTTCCAACCCAAATCAGTCTGGGATTCCATGATTCCATTCCTCCCAGCCTGGACACATTACTGGACCATAACTGCCTTGCTTTCCAACAGATGTAGGATCTCTGTTAGCCCTTGACATTGGAATACAGGGTTTTGTTCCCAAACTCCTCATCTAGGACCATTCAGAGATGAAAAAGAGGTAAAAGTACCATGTCATCGGGTTTGACAGACTGGGTAAGACCAGGCACATCTAGTCAGGTGTCTTGTCTCCAACAGTGACCACAACCAGCTGCAGGTATGAGAAGAACCTCCCCTGACTTAGGGTGGATTCAGATTGGTGGCTGAAAGAAAGCTCCCAACCCTCTTTTTCCAGCTCCTTGTCCCTTTTCTACAAGAGCTTGTTTCAAGGGGACTCACCTCTCATTCTCCAAGGACTTCAGAATGTCTGAACTTTGTTTCTGCCTGTAAAAAAAGATAAAACAAGAGGTTTTCATCAAGCTGAGCAGGACATCCTGGTTCTCCAGAGGGCAGAATCACAGAGTCATAGAATATCCTGAGTTGGAAGGGACTCACAAGGACCATCCAACTCCTGGCCATGCACAGAACAGCCCCAACAATCTCACCATGTGCCTGAGAGAAAACAACTTTGGTCCCATGCACAGCAGAGCAGTTTTCTGCAGGCTGGGCACCTCACATCAGCACCAGCCATATGGAGATCCAGCAGATACAGGCAGCGGCACCCTAAAACACCTCACATTTGCACCTTTCACAAGGAATTCAAATTCCTTCCACAGCACTGCAAAATTCCAACATCACACATGTGTGAAACCGTTTTTTTAAGGTGCAAATTCCTCTTGCTTTAAGTGGGACTTTGGCACTCCAAGATCTAAAGCACCTTTTCCAGACATCGACCCTGATCAGCTCCGAAACGCTCAGAAAGGGCAAGTTGAACCACTCAGAATGGGACAAAACCACCTGAGCCCCCCAGGGACAGTGAGCAGGGCAAGAGCCCACCTCTGGTTGTCCTCCAGCAGCTTGTGGATCCTGCTGGCAATGCCCTGCTCCGTGAGCTTCAGCTGCTGCAGCAGCTTCAGGCGCTCGCCCTCCAAATAGCGCTGGTGCTTCGTGAGCCCCTCCTCCAGCCTCTGCTGGTCCTACCAAAGCAAACAGGGACAAAGGGGTGGGTTTAGGGACGGCAGTGGGGGTTGTGGCAGGATAACCCCATAAGACCTAAAATGCAATCAGAGAATGCAAGCAGTGCCAGCTCTCTGGGGTGAGTCACTGGTGGTGCCACGGTGCTGGTTTTGGTGTTGAATTGTGCTAAAACCAGCCTGGGCCACCAAACCCCAAACACACACCCTGCTCTTTGAAGTTGGATGTGACAGATGAGCTGGGAGCTGGCCTGGGAATTTGTGACCAGCAGTCAATCACTTTATGCTATAGAAGCCCAGTCCCCCTTCATACAGTCAGGTTCTTCTGACATAACCCTTCTTGGGTGTGTGTGGAGATTCCTCTCTTGGTGGGGATGCCCAAGGACACTCCTCGAGGCTGAGGGAAAGAGATCTCCCCACAAGTGTTCATCTGGGTGACTTACATCAAATCTCTACTTAATAATTATTTCTTTTTGCCAGCTTTAATATAATTGCTTCAATAATTGCTTTAATATAGTGCACTGTCCTATCTTATACTGCACTACTAGTAGTTTTACAGTTTTTATTGTGTAGTAAATAATTCTGATTAAGATCTTTTGTCTGATCATTTGTAATAACAAATGATTCATTTTATATACACATTCTCATTTTGCCAATCAATAAAACCTGCAGGACGAAAGTGGTTCAATCACACCTCTCTAATTCCTTAAATTCAAACCACTGACGTAATCCAAGGCTAAGACTGGACCCAGCCACCCCCAGGCTCCTCTCTGAGAAGGGGTTTAGAAAGCCAGGGAGTCCTTTCTGCACCTTGTGACTCAAGGGCAGGACTTCTTTAATAAATTCTTTAATAAATGTCTAAGCCTTCCACTCCCCCCACGACAGGGGTCCTGTGCAGGGCTCCCAGGGAGACCCACCTCCCTCACTGTCTGCAGCATCTCATCCTTCTGGCTGTGGAGCTGCTGGACCAGCAGGGCGTGTTCCCTCTGCCCCATGTCCAGGCGCCGCTCGAATTCCAGCTTCTCCTGCATCTTTTGTTCCTGAGAGGAATAAGGAGAAAGATGAGTGGCAGGAATCAGAAGGCTGCTGGCTCTGGTCCTTCCCAAGTGAGAACATGCTCTGGCAAAATCACCAACCAAGGCACAGCAAAAGGAAGGGAAGCCAAATGGCAAACAGGAGGCTTGAGTAGGGAATGGAAACATTCTCCCCTTAGGAACCCAAAAATTACAGAGAAGCTGCTGCTCTCTTTAGGAGTCTCCAAACTCCTCACAACTCATTTCATCACCAGGAAGCTGAAGTCCCTGGGCATCCACTGATACTGAAAGAGCCAATACAAACCCCTGGAGGGAAGCCCAAAATGAAGGTGGGGTTCAGTTCCAGATGGGAACAGGACTCCCTTGTTTGAGGGAAGCAGCTCGAGCCAAAGGCAGCAATGAACTGCAAGGCAGGAGCTTCTGATTCTTTCAAAGGGAGCCTTGCCCAGGGGAAGAGACAGGGACAGGGAAATAAGAACAAACTAAAATGCAGCCGGGTGAGGGGAATGGAGGACAGAAACAAGGAAGGCTGGGAGAGTGCAGGAAGGGTGGCACTGTGAGCCAAAGGGACGGGGTGGGAGTCGGAGGGGCTGGAGTTTGGGACAGGGATGTACTGAGCAGCCTGTGCTCACACACCTCTGCCCACCCCATGGGAGAAACAGCTGAGCTTCCAGCCCAGAAAGGCAAGAAAAAGCCACCTGGTGTGAAAGCCCCTGGATCCAGCTCTGCAGCCTGATTTCAGCTGGAGCTGCTCACTCACAGGGGGGACAGCAACACCTCAGCTCTGTGTGTCACACCAGGCAGGCACAGATTCCCCCCTGCTCCCACTTGTCTCCTGCTGTGACAAGTGAGCAGCTTTGGGGGTTTATACAAGAACTCATCTCAAAACACTCAGTTTTGGCTGAGAAACCAGATAAAGAGATGGAAAACAGAAAGCAGAAGCAGACCCAGACAGAGCATTTGTAGGCATTCATCCTTACCTTCCTCTTCTCATACTCCGAGAATTTGTTCTGAAAAATAAGCAATATCAGCAGACATTTATTCCCCAGAGGACTTTTCCTGCAGGTATTATTAACCCTCATTCCATCTTCCCCTAACTGAGTAAAGACATCCACCACAGGCACTGGAGCATAAGCCCAAAGTCAGTCACTGAGGCTTCTCCAGGGACAAAGACATTGGCTCTGTACTTGCCAAAGAGCACAGAATTAGCAGAGTTCCCACAGTTATTGGCCCAGCCTCACCTTCCCCAGGCAGGGGAACACGTCCAGCACTTGGCTGGGAATCACAAGGTTCTTCTGCAGTTTGCTGTCCCCCCAAAATTACAAGTGTTACCACCCTGCACATCCATGTCACTCACACTGTCACCCCTGTCCCTTCACTGCATTGTGGCTTCCAAGGATGGATTCAGTTCTTTGGGATGTGTCTTCCAGGAGTCAGTGTGGTGACACCACCCCCAGCTTGGGAAGGAGATGAGCCATCCACACACACAAACTGCTGTGCCTGGATGCCTTCTTGGTCCCAGAAGACACATCTCATGGAGATGTACAGACATTCTGCATTTAGCAGCACAGTTGATAATTCTGTTTAACCTCACTCAGTTTCCTGGAGCCTGTGGATATTTCTATCTGTGAACAGGGTATATTTTTTCACCCTAAATCTTGGAAGGAAAACAGGAAACCTTAACCATAAATCTTGAGCACTCAGTAATCCGTCACTTGCACAACCAGAGTTGTCATATCAAATGCAGATTTTTGGAAATGCTGCTTGAGATTCCTACAGAATTTCAGTTTTCTATTTTGTAAATCCAGAAGTTTGCCCAGGCCGTGAGTTCTGCAATACAGCACCTCCTATGTGTGGATAAATATCTTCAGACTCCTAATATTTTTGTTAAATGGAGTGTCTTAAAGTGAAAGGGATGATGTGCCAAGTGCTGTGAGATCCAGTGATGGAGCACAGAGACAAATCCCAAACCCTCTCACACAAATTCACATGCAGTAGGAGCCTCACCTGCCACTCCCTCGCCTCCTGCAGGTATTTATGCACTGTCCTGTCCACCCCATCCACTGAGGATCCTCCTCCATTGCCCTCCAGCTCGGGAAGGAGATACTGGGAGGGAGGGTAGTAGGCAATTCCACACTCTGGAAGGTATCAGGCACAAGATAAGAACATTTGGTGCTTAAAGACCTCCTTGGCAGCATGGCCAGGGCTGGCTGGTGTGTGAGACTGCTTCCAGCAGTGCCTCCTCTCCTCACACACCAACCAGCACCCAGCACAGCTCCTCCAGCTCAGGCAGGATGAACAAGGAGCTCTGGGAGGGGATTGTGGCACTCCAGTCCCACCAGGAGAAGGTTCAAAGCTGACCTGCTCAGAGAGAAACATGTCCTGCACACAGGTACAGGCCTGGTGACTTCTGCAGGGCTGCAAATGTTACTGCCCAGACCAAAATAACTGTCCTGTTGTTTCAGGGAATATCCCAATATCCAGCACCCACTTTCCCTGTATAAAACCTCCACCAAACCCCCCTGCCTGTATTAAACACAGTGTTTACAAACTCACAGTCCATTATCTTTGCCCTTTGAGTTTTCCATCGGGTTTCATCACTCTCATAACAACCCATCAGTCTGCAGTCTCACATCCTTCCTCTTGGAAAATGAGGGTAGAAAGGACCTTGAGTGAATACTGAGTCTCTCTGCCTGTCCCAAGGCAGTGATATGTGGACAATGCCTAATCCTCCCACTGGAGAAAATCCAAATGAGAAAAAAAAAAAACCACTGGGAAATGCACTGACTTCTTCTGGTCACTGAGACAGTCTGACCCAGCTACTCTGATGTTTGAACATTTCAGTGTGGCAGAGCAGCAGGGCTCAAGGGAGGGCTCCTGTTGTGCTGTTTGCCAGCAAAGACAGGTCACTGAGCAGCCTGTCAGGTGTGCAGGGCTCCAGGAACCACCCCAGGCAGGGCCCACACAACCTGTGTCCTTCCCAAACACCATCTTTGAACACCCCACAGCACCTGGTCAGAGCCAGCCCGGGCCCCCAGCCCTCACCCCACCCACGGGTGCTCCTTGCTCACCTTTGCAGAGGAACTGCTGGATGGCCTCTGTGCCTGCACTGCAGATCTCAGGGGATGGGTAGGTCATGGAAGAGGCATCCAGGGCCAGGGTCTCCAAAAGAGAACACACAGAGCTCCAGGTTATTCTGGTGGCCCAGCCAGAGTCCAACTACAATTCTCCTTGCAGCTCCCCAAATTTCACTTACAGAGTGATAACTTCATGTTACCCTAAATCCTGACATAAACATGAGGTTGTATTGAATCCCCCCTGGATATCTGACACCCTTCAGAGGTGGCTCTGCTGTCCCTTTTTTGGGAGCTTCTCAGCTGGCCTTTCAGTGGAACATTCCCCTCCTGCAGATGCTGGTACTTCATGTTTAGGTACCAACCACAGACATTTTCTCCCCCATTTCAGAGAGCTGGAGCCCTTCAGGATGACACCTGGAAGGGGTGGTGATACAAGGGCACGGAGAGAAGATGAGTCCCATAAACAGTAAGGGGAAGGGCCACTTGTTTCATCCTACCATGGCCACCAAAAGGACCTAATGATGCCTCCTGTAGAGAAGGGCATGGCAGGAAGGCCTAGAAAGGAACTCCTTTACCAAGCACAGGGGGCAAAGCTGCACAGATCCCTCAACTCAGAGAGTGTCCACGAGAGAAGTGAAGTGTTGTGTGTGAGCCAGGGGAGCATTTATTCACCCCCTCCTGCTGGTGTCTGAGTCAGCCCTGTTGCCTGACACTTGCACCATTTAGTACTGACAAGTCTGGCAGCCAGAAGGGAACATATCCAGCAAAATCCTGATGCTTTTCCCATTCTGGATGTGCACTCCAGAGAGCCAGAAACCCACAGAGGCTGACAGTGAGTCAGAGATCTGTCAGAGCACAGAGGCAAGAGCCTCATCCCAAATATCCATCTGCTCATTTCCAGTCAGCCCTGGTGGGGAGTGGCTGTGTCAGCCTGAGCACAGGCACAGTTTGTGCTCTCAGAGACAGCCCTGGCAGGTAAAATCCAGGGATTCACTCCCTGGGGATTGCTTTCGTTGTGATTAAACCGCAACAAAAAGTGATCAGAGAAGACCAGGAAGGGAACACAAAAGCTGTTTTGGGCACGGGTCTCTTACAATTCCCTGCAGTGCCTCCTGCCCAGGCCCTAAACATTCACTTTGTGTGCTGGATTTCTGACCTCCTCCCACCACACTGCAGGCAACGTGCTCTGGCTTTCCATGTGCTACCCCTGTGTCAAGGCACAGCTTCACAGACCCCATGGGGTGTTGGTAAAAGGTGTTGCCATAGAGGTGTTGCCCCCCTCTCTTTGGGGAAGGGTGTTGAATTATGGAAATCCAGTGGATCCTTGACCTTGCCTGTTTGGCAGAAACTCCCTGGGCTAAACCCTGTGGCCAGTTAGCACTTAAATACTGGGGGGTTAATGTGCAGTAGTTATGGTGCCTTTCCTGCTGTGGTCCAGGCTCTGCAGGATCCTAGGGTGCTTTGCAGGGGTGGACTGTTGTCCTCTCACAGCTCTTCAGGGCACAGCTTCACTTTGCTCGTTGTCTGGTGAGTGCTGGGGCAAAGTCCAGACCCCCTGTGCCCCCACTGAGCCCCTCCTCCACTGCCCTTGTGTCTGTGGGATGGTTCAGCTCCCTCTGGTACTGAGGCTGGCCCGGGCTGTGTTTTGGTTCTCACCAGACCAGCTCAGCTGACTCATGCCAGGGTCTCACAGCAGTTCCTGCTGATGGTGGTTGGAGTTTCCCCGTGTGACACACACGTGTCCCACAGCCAGCCCCAACCCCTGCCCAGACACCTCCCCGGGCTCTCCTCCCTCTGCCACGGCATGGCAGCACCCCCGGAGGGCAGCAGCAAGGGAGGGAGGGGACAGACAGACAGACAGGCAGGGCTGGCTGGGTACCTGCAGGGTCCTGACGTGGGCCAGCACCCGGGGCAGCTCCTGCAGCACATTCCCACTGACGTCCAGGGAGCGCAGGCTCCGCAGGCCACTCACTGTGCTGGGCAGCTCCTTCAGCTTGTTCCCTGGAGAGAGAGAAACCCACTTGGGAACATGTGGCCTGTCCAAAGCAGGGCCCAGCAGGTTCCTCTGCTGGAACACCAAACCATAACCACACACATGGCTCGTTTCTGCAGGGATGGGGCTGTCATGGGTCACAGAGGGACCCAAAAGGGCTGTCTTGGGTCACACAGGGACCCCAAAGGGGTTGTCACGGGTCACACAAGGACTCCATAGGCTGCCACTGCCCACCAAGGCAAATGGGGATCCAAATCTACTTGCTCACAGCCCCAGTGCACAGGTCCATCTCATACCAAAACGACCTCCTCAGCTGAGGACGTGCTGCAGGTTGGGTCTGTGCTCTTTAACAGGAGAATATTTGTAACATGGAGTCTTCTCCCCTTTGGTGCAAGTCCCAGAGGTGGGAGGAAGGGGACTGAGTGTGGGACTGCACAGCCAGGGCTCAGAGCTCAGGTGCTGCAATGCCCTGAGCTGCCCTTCCAAGTTCCTCACCCTTCATTTCCCTCCCTGTTTCAGCAACAGCTCCCTGTAACAAAGTCTTTTTCTCCCAAATTTATGGCACAGCATAGCTGGAAAATGCCCAGGAGTCTGGAAAAGAGGTGTGGCCTTTGTGCTAGGGCTGTGCAAACCTGGTGGGCTGCACAGGCTCACAGGACCCGGCTCCAGGTGCTGGTGGACTCAGCTGTAATTCAGTTTATCCAGCTGACTGCTCTGCTTGCTCTACTGAAGGGCTTCTGCCAAAAGCTGCTGCTTTTCTCACACTTGAATCTGCACAGAGTGCAGATTAGGTTGGTCTAAATCAAAATCAAAAGGAGGACAAGCCCCTCTTGCAGGGCCCCCACAGCACTTCCAGCTCAAGGGGGGCCCCTGCTCCTGGAGGAAAACGTGTGTCTCCAGCCCTCCCAACATTCCTGGTTGCAGGAATGAGGCACCCAGGGCTCTGAAACTCTGCCTACATGCAGGAACTCCAGGGAGCTCTGAGCTGCTGGGATTGGGTTGGGATGACCCAACCACCTCTCCTTTGAGAAGAGTCTGGATGAAAACATCCTACAGACCAAGGCTGAGCCATTTTCTGCCTATGTGATTCCTCCTGCCTTCCCAACTATTTGAATTTAACCCTTGTGTCCTTCCTCAGCAATCAGAGTGTAAAACATGTGGTGGCTGAAAGGAATAATTGCTACTGCAGCTCAACACGACCCAGATAGGACCTGGTGCCTTGCCCAGAGCACTGCTGGAATCCCGAGCCATACCTTTCACATTGAGGAGCTGGAGCTGGGCAAGGTCTCCTATAGATTGTGGAAGGCTTTTTAACAGATTCCTTTCAAGGTTTAGGACCTAAGGTATTAACAGAAAAGATTTTCAAGACATTCTTCAGACAGGTCTCAGCTCTTCTACACACCCATGCTGCTGGGACTACTCTCAGCCCCAGGAAAACCTGAAATTGGGTTTAGACAACACTTTATGGGTTAAAAAAATGTATTGTTCACAAACCCTGGATACAGGGTTTGTCAGGCTACCAAAGGCAGTGAGACCCTATTCACCACCACCATCTGGTACTGAATCCAGCTGCAGGAACTGGGACTGTCCAGGGCAGCACTCCCCAACTCCAGCTCCCACAGGGGAGCAGGGCCTGAACTTCAAGCTGCCCCCCAAGCACAGGGACCCTCACTGTGCACTGAGACACACTGCTCTGAGTCCTCAGCACAACCACACCAGGGAGAATGGCAAAACCTGGATATTTTGGGAAATCAGTGGGACTGGAAGCTCGAGCTCTCCTTGGAGCATCTCAGAGCATCTGCTTGGCAGTGTGAGCCACCTGGGCTGACAGGCCTTGCACCAACCTGGGACTACATAACCCACTGCTCTTCTTCTGCTCTTTTCCTGCCTTTCCCCTGCTCTTTCCTGTCCTTCTCCTGCTCTTCTCCTGCCCCTCTCCTGCTCTTTTCCTGTTTCCTGCTCTCCCTCCAACAAGCCAGTTCAACAGCAACAGTCGAGTTTCCGTGATAGATCCAGCAATGATGAGATAGATCTGACAACATGGCACCATCATTTAAATTGTTGTTAATTATAAACCAAAGAGCAGCAACCCCATATCCCTGCTGTCCCAAAACATGCCCTGAGCCACACTTGGGATGCAGCTGCCAATCTTTTACCTGAAGAGCTGTGAGCTGACCAATATCAGCAGGAAGCGACGTCAGCTGGTTGTTATGAAGGTCTAGAACCTGGAAGAGGAGATGATTTCACCACACAAGGCTGGGAACAGAAGTCGTGGTGCCAGAATGAAAGCTCATGCATTATCTAGCAATGAAAATTCCTTTGCTTCCAGTGGGGCTTTGAAAAGCAGCTCAAGTTTTCCAGGAGACATGGGCACTTAATTCCTGGGGGTCTTCTGGAAACTCAAGGGAGGGCAGTGACACTGAGGGGGCTGTTCCACAAAACTGGATGAGCCAACTGGATAAATGACCCCAGGGAACCAGCCTGCCAGCAGGAATTTCTGCAGGATCAATGAGCTGAACTGCTCCCTGGAAGCTGAACTGCTCCAACACCAGCACAGGGAGAGGGCAGGACTAGGCCTGCAGTCCTCCCTCCCTCCATGGGGAGAGGAGCTGCTGGAATGACTCTGCTTCCCGGGGAATCACAGAGGGTGGTGGAGCTGAGAGCCCTCAGCACCTGTATGACAGGTACTGTGACACAGCCCTGCCACACCCCATCACTCATCCCAGCTTCCTTCACATCCCAGTGATCCATCAGGGCAGGAGAGATGGATCTACCCCACAACACACTCAGCTCTGCCTGAGAGGCTGCTGAGGGGGGAACTGTGGGATCTGGAAGAGGATAAATGAGTCCTGGGAACACAAACCACTCAGTGACTGCTGTGTCTCTGCCTGGAAAGGGCAGGTTTCACACCTTGGTACTGATTCTTGGCCAAACCCTCCATCCAGAAGGGATTTATTTGGGCTGGTGTGTTTTAAAGCACTGGAATGCACAGAAAACAGGCTGCAGATTAAGTGTTAAGAATCACAGTTACCTTCACAGTGCTGAGACTCAGGAGGCTGCAGGACTTTGGAACTAAAGATGTCAGATTATTTGTGTGAATAATCAGCACCTGGGGGGGAAAAAACCCCACAGGCACATAAGCACAAGGGACACTGCTGTCCAGAACAAGCACATTTGCTGAGATTTAACTGTGGAGGCTGGGTGAGAGCTCAATATCTTATTCAGTATCATAGAAAATATTGAAGTAGGAAATGGTTTGTCAGAAAAGTTCAAACATTTTACATGAGATCTAAACCAGAGCTTTGTTCCTTGTATGAGAAATACCATCAGACAGGCTAAGACAGGAACAACCACCACCTTTCCTGCCAGGAGTTAGCTCTGGAGAACACAGACAGGACTATCCCGACCCAAACTGCTCTCTGTGTGGTATCACACAGGTGGACAAATTCATTACAAGCAAACTTCTTGTGCAGCAACATAAAACAACCACATGCAGTCGTTTCCAACACTACAGTAATACCCAAGCATAATAACAGAATTATTTAACAATTTCTGATTGCAACATTACCTTTTTTTGCAAGACTTTACAAGTGGCAAAGGCCCCATAAGGAACCTAAAAACAATTAAAAAATAGCCAGGTCAGACTTCTCTCTTAAGCACTTCTGCAGTGCCCACCTGTAAAGTGTGAACAACTTTAGTGAAACCACAAGTGATACTTAAAATTACTGGGCCCTGATTTTGGCCCAGCACGCCAGTACTTCCCAGATAACTTCCATTTAAGCTTCCAATGGCTCTCCATGACACAGCAGTGTCACAGAACAGGCTGAGGCTTGGGCAGGAGTTCCAGCCTTGCATGATTTAATATTTGATGACTCAAGAGCTCAGATAAATGTTCAGTTAGTCATCACATAAATATATTCTGTGGTTCTGCAACCTCAAAAACACGCTTGGGCTGAAAGAGAAAGGTGAGCACAGGGCAGCACTGAGTGTCCCTGATGTGCCAGGCTCTGTGCCAGGCTCTGCAGGAGAGGGGCAGGGACAAAAGGGAGGTGCCAGCCCAGCCCCTGCCAGGCACAGCTGAGCAGCACCAGCCAAACTTCTGTCCACGGTTCATTTTAAGACAAAACTGATGTTTCACTTCATTTATTGAAACAGCAAAGGACAGAATGAAACAGCAAGGCAGGGTTTTATGGTACCAATCCAAAAGGAGCTGCTGGGGATCCCAGAGAAGCTGCAGCCACGAGTGGAGCTGGTGGGTGGATTCTCTGGCCCTGCTACACCCAGAGAGGCTGCCAGACTGTCCCACAGCCTGCAAACCTGCACACAAGGTGCTGTTGGCTTCTGAGCTTGGAACAAAACACCCTGAAGTCTCAGCAAAGCCATTTCCCACTGCAGAGCAGACAGCTCTCCTCTCCAGGAGGAGAGCTCTCCCCACAAAGAGCAGCATGACACCCATTAACTTGCTTGGCAAAGCTCTCCCCTTCCAAAAGGCTATCAACATTTTAGAAACATGAGATAACGAATAAAAATTGGAAGTGAAATAGAAAGGGGCTTCTGGCCTGGCTGCCAGCAGGGAAGGCTGTGTGTGCTGTGAGTGCCTGGCACTCTGTCACTGCCCACCCACTCACAGCACACAGACTGTTCCTCACTAAGTTGGCTGCCATAAAAGAAGCCAAGCTGGAAGTGAGATTTCCATCCTTAACCAGCTGGGATTTTCACTGATACAGAAAAATAACCATGGGTGGCAGACTGTGCAGCTCTAAGATTAGAAACAGTCAGCCTCTGGCAAACAAATTCCCTCAGGACCAGCAAAATTAGGCCATGAGGTCTCAAACTGGGGTCCTACCAAGGTGCTGGGGGAGGGTATGAGGCCACTCTGCCCTTCTCACCCTGTCAAATGCAAAAGGATTCCCAGGACAGAAATGGTGTTGAAGCATCAGGCAGGACAGGCAAACTCCCACCAAAAACGGGGAAGAAGCCCCCAGCTGAAAGCCAGAGGTGAGGAGACAGAGGAAAAGGTGGCCCAGTAACAGGTTCTGTCTGGAGGCTCACAGACATGACACCACATCTGACAGAAGGATCAGAGCTGTGACTTAATGCTGGAAGCTGTAGAGAACATACCTCTGAGAGTTCACATCTGGATATGTCAAGGGTGTCATCAGCACCAGCTTCTTTTGCCTGGAGAGGGAAGACAAACATCCAGAGAATTAGACCATCCAGGAATACATGACCTCTTGCTGCACCCTGCAATTCTCATTGCCCAGAAAGGTTGTGGATTCCCATTCCTGGAAGTGTCCAAGGCCAGATTGGATGAGGCTTGGAGCAACCTGGGCTAGTGGAAGGTGTCCCTGCCCATGGCAGGGGGTGGAACTGGATGATCTTTAAGGTTCCTGCCAACCCTTCTGTGATTCTGTGACTCTGTTCCAAAGTGGTTTTTCCATGTTCAACCACATCCAATGCAGCTGCTAATGGAGACAAACCTGGACAGACTCACTGTGAGCATCTCTGCAACTATTTTCTTAAATAAAAGGTACTGCACAAGGCAATAAAACCTACTTGTGTTTGTGCCTCTGATAAGTCTTCAGAACTGGACATCCTGACCCTGAACTAAACATACGCAACACAGAACTAATCCTAGGACAGGACAGGTAAACCACCCCTCCCCAGAAACCCTCCAGCTGAATGAATTCAGTAAACTTGTGTCATTATTGGTACATGACCATGTTTTCTTTTCCAAGACACCTCACAGACAGCCAACATGAAGATTCTAAATTCTAAAATACTTTGGGATAGAGCACAGCATAGAATCATGGAATTGTTAAGGTTGAAAAAGCCCTCCAAGATCACTAAGTCCAACCATTCCCTCAGCACTGCCAAGGCCACCACTAACCCAGGTCCCCCAGTGCCACATCCACATGGCTTTTAAACCTCTCCAGGGATGGGGACTCCAGCACTGCCCTGGGCATGAAGAAATTTTCCCTGATGTCCAACCTGACCCTCCCCTGGCACAGCTTGAGGCCATTTTCTCTCCTCCTGTTCCTTGTTCCCTGGGAGCAGAGCACCCCCCTGGCTCCCCCCTCCTGTCAGGGAGTTGCAGAGAGTGAGAAGGTCCCCCCTGAGCCTCCTTTTCTTCAGGCTGAGCCCTCCCAGTTCCCTCAGCTGCTCCAGGTGCTCCAGGAGACCCCACTGGACCACAGCTCCCAGGGCAGAGAAGGTGAAATAACCCAAAAGCAGATTTCTGTCAGAAACCAACTGCAAACCCAGGGCTGCTGCTGGACTGTTCTGCTGCCCTCACTGGCACAACAGAACCTGCTGAGGATCCACCCAGAGGATCCTGGGGAAATCCTAGTCCAGAAAAACAAACAGCAAATCTAACAAGTTGATCCTCTGAGTGACAGGAAGATATGAAATAGTAATGAGAAGCAAAAGAGGGGCACAAGGAAAGGCTGGATTACGAGAGAGGGGATGTCACAGGTTCCCTGGAAGGAAAAGCAAATTGGGAGATCTGTGAGGGCAAAGGGGCATGGAGGAGTGCTGGGGGTCCCATCTGTGGGCTGGCAGGAGGTGGGGTGGGGGGAGGATGTCCCATGGAAATGGGAGGGCAAAGGGAGACAGGAAGGCAGGAATTCCCTGACGTACATTAGGAAGAGGACCTTGGTGAGAAGGAAAACTGTCTGGGTGAGATCAGGAACACGGTTCCTGATAACACAGGGGACATGCCAAGCCCCCTGGCACCCAGGCCCAGACACAGGGCACAGAAGTGAGCCTGGCACTGCTCACCAGGCACAGTTGGTACTCAAGGCGCTTCCGGGCGTCATCGCTGGGTTTCTTCTTGCGGGAGAAGAGCGGCATCCTCGGCTCTGGCTGTGGCTCTGCCCCCAGACAGGGATCAGGGCAGAGACAGGCTGAGCAATCCTGCAGTCTGTGTGTGCTGGGGAGCCCGGGCTGCACAGCTGGGCTCTAACAACGGGGGAAACAAGAGAAAAGAAAAGAATCAGTGTCTCGGGAATTGTCCCTGTTTTAGCCCTTCTCTGGCTGGGTCCAACAGGAACCTCCACGGGGAAGTGTTCACATGAGCCACCAAAGCACTGCTGTTGATTGTCTGGGTCATCCCTGTGCAATATCCACTGAGTCAAGCTGGAACAGGTACAGAGAAAGGCTACTGAGGGATCAGGGAAATGCAGGGGCCACTCCAGATGTAACTGTAGCAAAAAAAAACCCTATTTGAACTCAAAGTCAATTCTGGCACAATAATAAGGAACTATAAAATTTTCTAGAATAAAATTAGGCTAAAAATGTGAAAAACCTGACAGCAACAGAGCTGCCTTCCCCTTCCAGGGCAGGTGAGAATAAACAAGATCCTGATGCAGTTCAAAATACAGGGACTTGCTGAGTGCTGGGTCTGGCAGAGCCTCCCCTGACATGTCACAGCCTATCCCAGCCACTTCCCAGGACATCAGGGGAGCAGAATTGGAATGCCCAAGATGGACTTTGCTTCTCAGCTTTAGCAACTGCCTCAAGCTAACAAAAGCTTGGCTCATTTGCTTTCTAGGCAGCAGCAGAATCACCCAGGAACACCTTCCCCATTTTAGTCACACAGAGAGATGAAAAGGTTCTGCCTTTAACACCCAATAGCTTAAAGTCAGATTTTCAATAGGTTTATAAAGCCAAATCCATTTCCAATAGTCTGACAACTGCCTGCAGAGCTGAAAGAACCCAACTTCAGCAAAATTCTGAATACAGAGCTGACCACAGCTGCCCCCCTGGGCACTGCAGAGCTTCTCCCAGGATGGATGTGTCCAGGGCAGATTGCTCCATCCTCAAGCCAGAATCCAGGACTGGGAGCAAAGGCTCCAGCTGGTTCAAGGATAAAGGGAGGAGAAGTTGAAGCTGAGAGAGAAGAGCGGGCCCAGGAAGGGCCCTGGTGAAACTGGGAGTGCAGATGGGTGAAGGGGAACAGAGCCCAGGCAGCTCTGGGACAGGACTGACCCAGCACAGAGAAAAAGGGAATTGTTGGCAGATTTTGAGGGAAGGGCTGGACAAGGGAGACCAGCTGGGAATGAGATGGCACCAGCTGGGATGCTGGGAAAAGAGGTGAGGAATAAAATCAAAGATAAAAAGGGGTTTATCTGAGGCTGCACCAGAGCAGGGGGTGAAAAATGGGCAATGAAGAAAGAGCCTGAGCTGGGGCTGCAGGAGAACAGGGGACCTGACACAGCTGGGATGGACCTGGTGTGGAGATAAGGCTGGGATGAGAGAAGAGCAGAAGGGCAACAGTGAGGTTGGAGACCTGCAGGGTGTGGGTGAGAAGCCTTGGATTGCTGGAGGAGCCCAAGGAGCCCTGCCCAGCTCTGCCTGGCAAAGGGGGGAGTCCAGGCAGGGCTCCAGCTGCCCAAAGCCCTCACTGAGACACACACTGGGAACTCTGCACTCAAGTTTCACTTTGCAATGACTTTTTTAAACACTGTTAATAATCATATAAATCATCTAATCATATAAAAGAGTCGCTCCTTCCTCAGTTCAGCACTAACTGGCACAGTGAGCTCATGTTGCACATAAAGAGCTGGTTCTTTGCCAGCTCTGTGCCTGCAAACTGGTCCCAAACTCCACTGAAAAGCAGGTACCCACAGGATCCAGCCAGGAATGTTCCTGCAGGGAGAGCTCTGCCAAAAACTGCCCAGAGCTTTATGGAGATAAATCCTTTGTGTAAAGGCAAAAACATCCCTTCAGTCCGTTCATCCAGGTTTCACTCCAGAAACAAGGAGGCAAAGCCACCCTGAGTCACTGTCCTGCTGTCACAGCTCTCACTGGAACAAGCCACGAGCCACAGCACAAAGCGGCTACAAACAAACTCATTCTGTGTGTTGGAATCACACTCCAGCAGTTCCACGGCTCTTCCCCTGCCATCTCAGTTCCTGCCTTTTGAACCACTTCACGCTGTTGAAATGCTCCTCAGACTCAGCTCCTCTCAGGAGGGGAGGGAAGAGCCAAAATTCAGAGGGCTGAGCAGGAGGGGAAGTTTATTGTCAGGAGCTACAGGTGGGAAATGCAGGACAGCCATGAAGGGCCACAGCCACAGGTCAGACATCACAGACAGAAACAACAGGAGGTTTAAAGATGAAAAGCAGAAGGACAAAGTGCCTCCAGCAAGAAATCCTTGACTTTACTAAATGTGTTCAAGTCTTTACTGAGGATTTCTGCATCCCCTTGTCCCACCTCACCTTTCTGTGTTCCAGACAGACATTGTTAGTCATGGGGATAGTGGGAAATCATCAGTTTTCACCCAAGAAAACAGATAAAGACATGAAGACACTGAACAGGAAAAGAATCCTATCAGGAGTCAAAAGATGAAGGATCAGAGACTTGTTAAATGGATTGAGCAGCTTCTAAATATCAAAACCTGCCTTAAAAAACACAAGTCAAACCTGCAGAGAGCAAAGCTGTGCCAGCAGTGACAGTGCCTGTGTGTGCTCAGCTGACCAGCACCAATCCTGAGTGAGAGCAGCACCCACTCAACAGCAGTTTTTATTTATTAAGCTCCTGAAAGAATTGTCTCTAAGTGCCTGGGACAGGCAGGGAGCACCCAGGGATACCAAATCCTGCATCCCCATAGGAGTCAGGGCTGGTCTGTGCAGCCACACACACTCACAGGGTGAGGAAGGGCCCAGGAATGTCCACTGGGTGTTCCCCAATCTCTGCAGCTGTTTGGGTGGTGGCAGCAAGAGAAAACCAAACCCCTAATTTTACAAACAAATGTCATCAAAACAAAGCAGCAAAATGGCTCTGTAAGAACAAACCCCCATTTTTGAAACATTCTGGACACCATAAATGCAGCACAGCACTGCAGCAGACAAGATGGGGGCGTGGAAGGAAGAGATGCTTTATTTCATCTTGGAAATACATTCAGGAGCAGAGCAGTGAGGCAGGGCCTGGAGCTGGGAGGTACTGCCTGGCCATGGGGACAGAGCTGTCACCAGACACCTCCAGGCTGGCCTGGCTCCCTGATAGGGAGGTCATTAAGCATCCAGCAGTGACAGGAGCCAGCCCTGCAGGGCCTGGAACAGGCACAGGGGGGAACTGCAGCTTTTAACTCCCCGTCCTGCAACACAGGAGTGTCGGTTCTTTGTGCTGGGGCTGCCACCAGAGCTGTGCCACCCCTGCCACGGCCCGACCCTGCCAGGGGCCTCCCTGAAACGAATCTCTCGTCTTCACCAGTCCTTCCTTTCCCACATTATCACTATTCCTCTTCTCCTCTTTAGGGGTCCCCGCAGGGTTCCCCTCCCAGGCTCACAGCGCTTCCAGGAGCTACCCGTGGTCCTCCTCGTCTTCTTCACCCTTTTATCAGCCACAACGGCGCCGTTCTGTGCCCGAGGGCCCAGAACCTTGGAAAGACGAAGGGCTGAGTGGGCCCTGCCGGGATTTGGGTTCGTGGCCCTCGGGCAGCGGCCCGACACCTGGGGAGAGGTGCGACAGTGAGCGAGGGCAAACACCGCGCGGCTCCGGGCACGACCCGCTCCCGAGGAGCGTCACCGAGCTGCAGTGCCCGTGCTCGCCCCCCCGGGAGCCCGGGGCCGCCCCGGGGATCCCGTCCCGAGGGTCCCGCCCGGGTCTCCCCCCCTCAGTCCCACTCACCGCTCGCCGCCGCCATCTTGAGACACCGCCAGGTCACATGATCACCCTCCCGCGGGCACCGAGACGCGCGGCCTGAGCGCCTCGCCCAGACCATAGCGCTCTGCCTCCGGCTCTCGCGCGCCCCCAGCAGGCCGGAGGACCGCCCCGCCCTGTCACAAGATCCCGGAATTATCTGGGATTGGAAAAGATCTCCAAGATCATCGAGTCCAACCTGTGCCCGATCCCCACCTTGTCACCTGGCCCAGACCACTGAGTGCCACGGCCAGTCGTTCCTTGGACACCTGCAGGAGTGGGGACTCCACCACCTCCCTGGGCAGCCCCTTCCAATCCCTGACCACCCTTTCCATGAGGAAATTTTCCCTGATGTCCAACCTGGCCCTCCCCTGGCACAGCTCGAGGCCGTTTCCTCTCATCTTTTCCCTTGTTCCCTATGAGCAGAGCCTGAAACCCCCCCGGCTCCCCCCTCCTGTCAGGGGGTTGCAGAGCCAGAAGGTCCCCCCTGAGCCTCCTTTTCTCCAGGCTGAGCCCCCCCAGCTCCCTCAGCCACTCCTGCTGCTCCAGCCCCTTCCCCAGCTCTGTTCCCTTCCCTGGACACGCTCCAGAACTGAGTGGCCTAAAACTGGGCACAGGACTCGAGGTGCCCCAGCAGTGCCAGCACAGCGGACTATCAAAACTTTTTACTGTTAATACATTTTAGCAAACAAACGAATTAGTGTTCACTGGCTACAAGTTACATAGTTCTTTAATAATTAGTATTCTCTCTTCTCTTCATTAATTATTCTCTCTCTTCTCATGCTAATTAGTCCCCTGGTCAGTGTTTCTCTTCTTTAGGATCAGGGGGTTTCTCGATGGGTGGTCAGGATCTGCCCCTGTTGGAGCTGATTTCAGCGCAGTTGCTCAGTTGGCTTTATTAGTTTCTACCTTATCTTGGGAGTTCTACCACAAGTCCTTATGGCCTGTAAATCCTGCATTCTTTGTGCTCACTATCAGTGGTACATCCCTCTCCACAAGCTTTCACCTTCCCCTGGCTCTGAGATCACTGAAGCATGTCCAGCCCTAAACCTCAACAGAGCAATTCTACCAACAAGTAACTTATTTTTCTAACACCTGGACATCACTCAGAGCTTGTTGAGCTGCTGTTTCAGAAATCACATCTCCCTTCTGGTTGATTAGGATTGAAAGCTACAAAGATCAAACATCAAAGAACAGCCTTTCTTAAGAAAATTTTTATATATTCCACATTTTGCAATGATGAGGGGCCTAGAACTGCCCCCAGGATTGGAAGGGGGGCCCCACCAGTGCCCAACACAGGGGGACAGGCACTGCCCTGGCCCTGCTGCCAGACCATGGCTGGTACAATCCAGGGGCCATTGGCCTTCTTGCCCACCTGGGCACACCTGGGCTCATGTTCAACCAGCACCCCCAGGGCCTTTCCCAGTGGACAGATTTCCAGCCACTCTTCCCCAGGTCTGGAGCCTTGTGTGGGATTGTTGTAACCCAAGTGCAGGACCCGGCACTGGGCCTTATTGACCCTCATACAATTGGTCTTGGCCCATCCATCTACCTATATATCATCTATCAATCCATTTGTCTACCTATATATCATCTATCTATCTATCCATCCATCCACCCATCTATCTAATCTACCTATGTCAATATCTCTATATATCTTTATCCATATGTCTATATATATATCTACCCATATCTCTCTATTTCTGTCTATACCTCTTTCTCTCTCTCAGTATATTTCTATTTATACCTATCTCTATGTTTCTGTCTCTATATTTATATATCTGTTTATCTCTATCTAAATCTCTATATATCTCTATATATCCATATCTATCCATATCTATTTATGTCTATCTATTTCTTTCTCTATATTTATACATCTCTATATCTCTGCATATATATCTCTATAGATCCATATCTATTTATATCTCTATTTCTGCCTTTGTATTTATATCTCTCTAAATCTCTATCCATATCTCCCTATATCTCTATTTATATCTATTTCTGTCTCTCTATATTTATTTATTTATATCTATCCAGAGCCGTACAAACTCCAGCTCTCGCGAGATCTCGGCACTTATACACGCGCTCTGGATCTCTCGCGAGATCTTAGCGGGTATATATTCGGCTCCCGCACCTCACGCTTTCTTTCGTCGCCCCAGCAGGCCCGAGTTCGCATCGCCCTCCATCCGCCTCCATCCCGGCCCACCCCGCGCCGCGATGCCGCCCAAGTTCGACCCCAACGAGATCAAAGTCGGTACGAGCCGGGCGGGGGGGTTCGGGAGGCGGCCGGGGCGGTGGCGGGGCCCGCGGGCGCGGCTGACGCGGCGCTGTCCCCGCAGTGTATCTGCGCTGCACCGGAGGGGAGGTCGGAGCCACCTCCGCGCTCGCCCCCAAGATCGGACCCCTGGGGCTGGTAGGTACCGGGGACGGGGGACTGAGGGGGTGGGAAACGTGTTCGGAGGGCGGGGGGACGGTGGGGGATAAGCGTGTCCCCGGGGGGAGGGAAACGTATCCGGGAGTGGGCGGTGGGAAGCGTGTTCCTGGGGGGATAAACTTGTCCTAGCGGGTGTTGGGGGAGTGGGAAATGTGTCCCCGGGGATGGAGGGGGCTGGGCAGTGTGTCCAGAGGGGAAATAAGTGTTCCTGGGAGAGAGAGTGGGAAGCGTGTCCCTGGGGGATGAGGGGTTGGGAAGCAAGTCCAGAGGGGAAATCAGCGTGGCGCCGGGAAGGGCAGTGGGATGGGGCCCTGGGAAACGTGTCCGGGGGGAAATAAGTGTATTCCCGGGAGGGGAAGGTGGGAAGCGTGTCCCGGGAAGTGCTGGGGGCGGTCCCGGAGATAAGAGGGTGTTCAGCGACCTCACAGCAGAGCCGAGGAGCCGGGACACGCCTGGGACGGCGCTGGGGCTCTCTGGTTTAAGCCGAGCTCTGTGTGACGGTCCCGTGTTGCCCCTCAGTCCCCCAAGAAGGTGGGCGATGACATCGCCAAGGCCACGGGCGACTGGAAGGGGCTGCGGATCACGGTGAAGCTCACGATCCAGAACAGGCAAGCGCAGGTACCGAACGCCAGCGGAGGGGCCGCGTGTGCTGCGGGTGTGGAGCCCCCTCGGCCCCCCCTGCTCCAGCCACCGGCCCAAATCCCGGCAGGGTCCACTCAGCCCTTCATCCTTCCGAGGTGGATAAAATGAGTGCCACACAGGGGTGTGTGGGGGTCTTCTGGGAAGACCTTATAATGTGGGTGGGGGATGTGTGTGGAGCCAGGCTGGAGGATCCTGTCCATGGGAAGAGACCCTCATGTGCCAAAGTTCAATTTTTATCCTGCTGTCACACTATTTTCATGCTGCTGTTGCTTCCTGCACAGATAAATTGTTCCTTCAGCAGAACCGGCAAAAAAAACTTATTTCAAGCAACATAAAAATAAATAAAACTCATGGAATGGAAAATAAATAATTGGGATATGTGGGAGATAAAATGGAAATAACTAACCCAGTAGCCACCTGCCACCGTGCCTGTCCTGACCTCCGTGGCTGGTACATTCCAGTGGTGAGCTGAGAGGAAGCCCCAGGCAGGAAGCAGTTCTCCCCTGGATGTGGGGAGGCCTGTGCCGAAAACCTGGGAACAGGTGCCTGCATCCCAGAAAATGTGGTGTATGAGGGAACTAACCCAACCCACGCTGCTCTGGCAGTTAGTTTTGCTGAGCTAAATGACTGATGGATTGATTATTTTCATTAGTTTTGAAATTCTGTGTAGGATGGGGGGGGAATTAATCTCTTTCCATTTAGATAGAGGTTGTTCCTTCTGCCTCTGCTCTGATTATCAAAGCTCTGAAGGAGCCCCCTCGTGACAGGAAGAAGCAGAAGAACAGTAAGTGCTCCCCTGGCTTTGGTTCTGAACGTTTTGGGGGTGAAAGGGGGGAACACCAGTACCTTCCTCTGGGATTAGTCAGTGCAAACTGGCAAGCAGGTGCCACAGAGCTGTATCCTGAGCAGCCAGGATTCTGCTTTTCAGAAGATCACAGAATCTTGAAATCCCAGACTGGTCTGGGTTGGGAGGGACCTTAAAAACCATCCAGTGCCACCCCCTGCCATGGGAAGGGACACCTTCCACTACCCCAGGTTGCTCCAAGCCCTGTCCAACCTGGCCTTGGACACTTCCAGGGATGGGGCAGCCACAGCTTCTCTGGGCAAAACCAGGGTAAAACAGGTACCTGTACCCGTCCTGTGTGTGTCCTATGGAGCCTGGTACAGCCAGAGGGGAGCTGGCAGAAAATGCCAGCTTAGGAAAGAGTTGTTGTGGGTGACTTTGTGTCACAGTCTGGGGGCAGGAGCGCTGATGGCAGTCCCATTAGAGCTGGGAGCTCCCAGCTTTCCATGGGGTCAGGGCACTGGGAATGGTGCTGCTGAGGCTGCAGGGGTTGGTGGCAGTGCCTGTGCCCAGGTGTCCTCACTGCTGCTGTCCCCTCACAGTCAAACACAGCGGGAGCGTCACCTTCGACGAGATCGTGAACATCGCGCGGCAGATGCGCCACAGGTCCCTGGCTCGGGAGCTCTCGGGTGAGTCCTGGGACTGGGAGACAGGGAGAGCTCCCTGTGCCTGCTCCGGGGGTTTGGAGTGCTCCCTGTGCCCGCTCCAGGGGTTTGGAGTGCTCCCTGTGCCTGCTCCGGGGGTTTGGAGTGCTCCCTGTGCCTGCTCCGGGGGTTTGGAGTGCTCCCTGTGCCTGCTCCGGGGGTTTGGAGTGCTCCCTGTGCCTGCTCCAGGGGTTTGGAGTGCTCCCTCTGCCTGCTCCAGGGGTTTGGAGTGCTCCCTCTGCCTGCTCCAGGTGTCTGAGCCAGGTTCTGCTCCAGTTCTGGGAGGGCCCACAGCCGTGTGTGCTGAGCACCACAGGGACAGCCTGTGCTGGCTGGGAGCCCCAGCCCCTGGGGAGGGGACAGGTACAGGTAGCACTTCCCAGTGCATTCCCTGGGAAACCAGGACGTGAGAGCTGGATAAGTGACTTGCTGTCTCCTGGTGAGCTCCAGCCTGCAAACCCCCAGAGGGAGGGACAGCTGAGGGGTGTGAATTCTCTGTGTTACAGAATCACAGACTGGTCTGGGTTGGAAGGGGCCTTAAAGCTCATCTCATTGTGCCTCCTGCCATGGGCAGGGACACCTTCCACTAGCCCAGGGTGTTCCAAGTGAGTTCTCAGATGTTTCCCTGTGCGGAAGCACTGACGAGCTGTGTGTTCCTGCTGCAGGGACCATCAAGGAGATCCTGGGCACTGCCCAGTCTGTGGGCTGCAGCATCGATGGCAGACACCCCCACGACATCATCGACGACATCAACAGCGGAGCCATCGAGTGCCCGGCTGTGAGTGCCCAGCTCTGTTTGCTGCATCAGATTTAATTGCTAAATGACTCCACTAACGAGCTGTGTTTGCTTCTTCCAACAGAGCTAAGACTGCAGAAAAGGAAGTTGCTCCATGAAGGCTCCTTCAGTTTTTTGTAGCACTTTAAATACTTAATAAAAGACCCAGTTGTCTGCAAACAGTGGTGCTGGTTCAGTTTGTCCCTGTCTCATGCTGGGAATGGCTGGACCTGTGTTGGGAGGTTTAAACTGGATCTCAGGAAAAGGTTCTTCCCCCAGAGGGTGGTTGGCACTGACCAGGCTCCCCAGGGCAGTGGGCACAGCCCCAAGGCTGCCAGAGCTCCAGGAGGGTTTGGACAATGCCCTGAGGGACAGGGTGGGATTGTTGGGGTGTCTGTGCAGGGCCAGGAGCTGGGCTGGATAATCCTTGGAGGTCCCTTCCTTGGGAGATTCCTTGAACCCTGTGCCTAGAGGGGCTTCACATGCCTGTGGGGTGGAAGGGCTCTGACTGGTCCCTGTCAGAGAAGAATCCAAAGAATGGATGTGCAGTCAGCATTCCCAGGGACTACTGGAGGCAGGAGTGCAGCTCCATGTACCTGGCAGTCCCTACCTTGCCCTCCAGGCTGGTACTACCAGGAGGAGCCTCTGGCCCAGGTTCTGGTGGAGCAGGTTGGATTTTTTTGCTCAAATTTGCCCCTGCCTTGAAGCAGAGGAAGTTCTGGATTTTTTTTTCCTGGTGACCAGGATGAGAACAGACATTTTAGTTCTTGAGTTGAATTTATTTTATGGTTTATTGCATCATGAGGGCTGTGAGTCTGTGTGAGGGGAATCCTGTGTTGTAAAGGGCCCAGGCTGGTGTTTCTTGTTTCCCAGTTCCTTGACTGGTGATACTGGGGGGAGCAGTACAGCCCCTCTGCACTGTGCTCTCCTGTGTGTTCTCTGGAAGAAAAATGAGCCATTTAAGTGTTTCCCAGACATTCTGTAAATAAGAAATGGCCCCTAAACCGTGGTGGAGCCTCAGAACTGGTGTTGAGCAGTGAATATTCTGGCTTTTTGTGCCAGCCCAGCCTGCTCTGAGGAGCTGCTGCTTGTGGACAAGAGAAGTTTGTCCTATGAAGAACACTTTCCTGGAGGAAAGGCACCATCCCTACTGGAGGTAGAAAGGTGTCTGTGCCCATTCTGGAAGGATTGGGGCAGGGATGGAAGTGTGGCTGTTGAGAAGCACAGTGAGGAACTATCAGAAGGTTTAGCCTCACTAAAAATGCTCTGTTTTGGCAGAACTCTTAAGGAAATGTAAATGTTGTTTGGGGATCTGGTCCTAGGAGGAACCTCAGTTCACCTGGAGCACTCTGAGCTGTTAAACATCTGGGAATGTTCCTGTGTGTTCCAAGCTTGGTGCTTGTTGTGCTACCTGGTGTTGGCTCACACTTGGCTCTCACAGCTGAGAGCTCTGGCTGTTACTGGGACAGCTGGAGAGGGGGTAGGACCAAAGATCCTGAGGAAATGGTGCTCTGTTCCCTCCAGAGGCTGGATTTTCCCTTGGAGCAGCACAGCACATGGATTCTTCCAGGCTGGGAAAAGCTCTGTTAGTGTCGAAGTGAAATTATCCTGAAATAAGTGCTTTAGCTGGCACTGGGATATTGTAGCAGCCCCATTACCAGCTGCTCATGATTGCAGTTTCCCTCAGCCCTAGCAGGAAAAAAAACAGCAATGAATCCTAATTTAGGTCCATTTTTGCACTGCAAAAGGGGATGAAATTCTTCCCAAGAGGCTGAGTTGTGTGTGCCTTGATCTCAGAAAAACGTTCTGCAGGGTCTTTTCCTCCCCTGCAAAGTGGTGACAGCACTTCATCAACATTTTCCTGCCAGTGTCTCTTCAGTTTTGCAAACAACTCAGTTATTCCTACAGGGAATTCACAGCCCCAGAGGAAAATGTCATGGCTGGAGCAGGACTTTGAAGGGGTGTGTGTGTTGCAGGAGGAGGAAACAAAATAGTTCTGCCACCACTTGCAGGGGGTGCAGGAGAGAGGGTGGTACCTGCACTGTCTGGGCTGCTAGAATTTCTCTCCCAGGGTCTGGATTATTGCCCAGGATCTGCAGGAAGGTGCTGGGGCAGCAGGAGGGGTGGCTGTGGGGGGGATAATTGGCTGCTGTGTCAGGCACACCAGGTGCTGAGTGAGCTGGAGCCTCTGCGGAGAGGAAAACAAATCCTGACATGAATTCCATGCCAGACCGGAGGGAGCAGATGGGCACCCCTGGAGCAGTGGCTGTTCCTGAAGGGTATCCAGCTGATGGGGTGTTTTCTGTTGGACCAGGCACTGCAGTTCCTCAGCAGCTGTAGGTGGTGCAGGGCAGGGGGGAGATGGTTTGGTGGAACTGAACTTTTGTGTTCCTGAACAGGAGGAAGGACTTTCCTGTGCAGGTGACCAAGCACTGGAGCTCAGAGAGGCTGTGGAATCTCTGTCCCTGAAATATTCCAAACCCATCTGGAGAGAATCCTGAGGGAACACTCCAGGGGCCCCTGTTGAACAGGGAGGTGGGACTGGGTGACCTCCAGTGCTCCCTTTACCCTGAACCATTCTGAAACTGCTCCAGGTTAATCCAGGGGCAAAGCTTGGGCTGCTGTCTCCCAGTCCTGCCCCGGGAATGTGTCTCGTGCTGCTTGTGAAGCATCAAACGTAGGCTGTGTTGGCAGTGGGACCTTCAGAAATCATATTTGCATGTGATTTAACACCAAACTGCTGCTCTCACAGGGCCAGCTTCCTGCCTGCTCTGCTGCTGTTAAAGCACCTACAAATGGAACAAGTAAAACATCACAAAGGTGGCTCCTGGGAAGTGGGAATTCTCCCTGTCCTCGCAAGATCCAAAGTGCAGGTCAGGGGCAAGGCCAGCCAAAAGGAGCTGTGAATCCCATCTGTTTCCCACCATGGTCCTGCTGTCTGGAATGTTCAGTGAAGCACCAGCACTGAGCTCCCAGGGAGTTGCCAGGATCTCTGGAGCAAGGCCAGGCTGGCAGCTCCCGGGGGGGAGGAGTTTGGGCTGCCTGGTGCCTTTATGATTCTGAGGAGATCCACTGGTGTCCTTTTCTCCTGATGAAAAGTCACCCTGCCCTGGTGACTTGAGGACCACAGAGCCTCAAGTCTGGTTGTAGTGAAAGGGGGAAAGGTGTGAGCAAAACAAAATCATTTTTATCAAACCCAACAGCTCTGGAAACACGAATTGTACAGGACATCCCAGTGTGTGCCTGCAGGATGGAGGGGGGAGCTGGACCCTCCTCATGCCTAAAAAAGTGACCAAAGCCTGACCTGGGTGTTCCCAGACATGGGGGGCCCTGCAGAACCCACAAGTTTAGGGATCTGTCTGTTCCTCCACAGTTGGGCTGTGCCTGGGGCAGCTCTGCCCGTGGTCCAGGCCTGTGCTGGCTTCTCATTCCCTGTCTCTGGGTGCAGCAGCACCAGGTTTTTTGCAGCCTCAGCTGATGGAGTGTGAAAGTTGGAGAGTTTGGGGTTTTTCTGCACTTTCACCTGCTTTTCCCCCAGCTCTTTGTAGGGCCTTTTTCCGAGACAGCCATGGAATGAACCAGAAGCACAGCTGAAATCCCAGACACTTGCCAGCTTTCATGCCACGCTGAGGGAACACCTGGAGCTGTGTCAGGGAGGGTCAGGTTGGATCTCAGGAAAAGGTTCTTCCCCCAGAGGGTGGTTGGGCACTGACCAGGCTCCCCAGGGCAGTGGGCACAGGTGGAGTCCCCACCCTGGAGGTGTCCAAGGAAGGACTGGGTGTGGCACTCAGTGCTCTGGGCTGGGGGACCAGCTGGGGAGTGGAATTGATGGTCTCAGAGGTCTTTTCCAACCTCAGTGATTCCGTGAGGGAAGAGCCCAGGTTTGTGCTCACTCTGTGGGGCAGTACTTGCAGAATTAGGTGCTCCCTAAATCTTGTGGGTCAGTGAGCAATGATGGGCTGCTCCAAACAGCTTCCTGTGCCTGATTTCCACGGTTCATCATTGCAGCCTCAAGGGAAACCCCCTCCCGTGGGGCTGCTGCATCACAGGGATGATTCAGAAAAGCAGGATTCATCCTTGGATTTAACATTTGACTCATTTAGATGCTTCCAGGGTTAAACCCACATTCCTTGTTCACATTTTTCAGGAGAGGAAATCTCTGCCCTAGAGATTTGTAACTTTGTTTTGTTGTTGGTCACAAGTAGATCATGGGAATCACGGAATCCCAGCTCAGTTTGGGTTGGAAGGGACCCTAAAGCCCCTCTCATTCCATCCCGTGCCATGGGCAGGGACGCCTTCCACTAGCCCAAGTTGCTCCAAGCCCCGTCCAAGCCGGCCTTGGACACTTGCAGGGATGGGGCAGCAGTCACGATGTGACCCCAGTGCCCCCGCGCTCCTCCTGCCCGCCCGCACCGCGGGGGCACCGCCCCGGGGCTGCGGCTCGGCCCTTCCACCGCCTTTGGACAACGCTCCCAGGGTCGGGGTGGGATTGTTGGGGTGGCTGAGCAGGGCCAGGAGTTGGACTGGATGGTCCCTGTGGGTCCTTCTTCGATTCCATGATCCCGCACCGAGCTCCGGCCCCGGCCGGGACGCGGCTCCCGCGCACGGCACCGGGGGTGTGTCCCCGTCCCCGCGCCGGTGTCGGCCCGCCCGGGCGGCCGCGGCTCCACGCGGCGGGAGCGCCCGCACCACGTGTGCCGGGCAGCGAGCCTGGGCTTCCCCGGCCCCGCGGGCGCCTCCGGTCCTGGATTTCCCGGTCTGCCCCGGGGGGGTTCCCGGCGGGGGTTCCCGGGGAGGGTTCTCGGAGGGGGGGTTCCCGGTCTCTCCCCCTCCCCGCGGACATGCGCGGCCCCTTTAAGCGCGGCCCCGCCCCCTCTGCCGGCGGCACGCGGCTTCCCGCGAACGTGACGTCACCGCCCTCGCCTCCCGCTCCCGCGCCCGCGCGCGGCCCCTCCGCCGCCCCACGTGACTCTCCCCGCGGCGCGCCGCGCGCCCATTGGGCGCCGCGGGGGTGACGCGCGGCGGCGCGGGGCTGCCATTGGTCGGGGCGCGGCGGGTAGGCGGTGGCGCGGTCTCCTATTGGTGGGTGGCGGCGGGTGGGCGGAGCCGTGGCGGCCCCGCCCCCCGGGAGTGCGCGAGGCGGCGGCGCGTGGCAGCGGCTCGGGGCGCGCGGCGGCCCCGGCCCGGCCCCGCCATGACCGACTTCAAACTCGGCATCGTCCGGCTCGGGCGGGTGGCCGGGAAGGTGCGCGGGGGGCCGGGGGCAGCGCCGGGCAGGGCTCGGGCGGGGCGGGAGGGCACGGGAGGGGAGGGCTGGGCCTTAACGGGTGTTACCGGGCCGAGCCGGGCGGTGCCGGGGCCGTGCCGGGGCCATGTCGGGCCGGGCCTGGGCCGTGCCGGGGCAGTGCCGAGGCCGGACGGGGCCGGGCCGGGGCCATATCGGCCCGGGCCGGGCTGTACCGTTCAGTACCGGGGCCGTGCCGAGGCCGGACCGGACCGGACCGTGCAGTACCGGGGCCGTATCGGGCCGTACTGGGCTGTGCCGGGGCCATATCGGGCTGCACGTGCAGAACCAGCACCGGACCGGACCGTGCTGGGGCTGTATCGGGCTGTGCCGGGGCCGTGCCGGGGCCGTACCGGCTCCATGCCGGGCCGTGCCGGGGCCGTGCGGTCTCGCTGACGGCGCTCCCGGTGTGTTTCAGACCAAGTACACGCTGATCGACGAGCAGGACATCCCGCTGGTGGAGAGCTACTCCTTCGAGGTGAGCGAGCGGCCCCGCCCCGGGATTTCCCGTATTTTACAACCCACTCCCCGCCCGGGGCAGCCCCGAACCCCCCAGAGCTCCCCTTGTGGGGTTGTGGGTTTGGGGTTTTCCTTCCCGGTTTGAATCCAACTGCCCCTGGAAGTGCTGTGCCTGCAACCTCCCTGGTTTGGGGAAAAAAACGACCGATTTTAAATTACTAAAGTACCAATGTGGAGATTTTCAAGCGGGAAAAGTTCCGGGGTTTGTTTTCTTTTTTTTTTCCTGAGTATCAGCTTAAAACATTTATTTATTTATTTATTTATTTACTTATTATGTAGGGGGTTTGTTTTCAGTTTACTATTTGTGTGCTTTGGGAGAACTGATCATTTGCCCGCCCTTACTTGGTTTGGCAAACTTTGAAATTCTTCCCTCTGAGCATTTTGGGTGAGAGAAACTTTAATTGTAGCTGATTATGGGACCAGAAAAAAGTGTTTTCTCTTAGCATCTACTGGAAAAGGGGTAGTGGATTCTACCAAGGCTTTGAAAGAGAAAGAGAATGATTAAAAAAATCTTCTATAACTGGGGTGTTCTTGGAGGAGGGACCATCTCTTACCAGTTCCTCAGTGCAGTGAGTGCTTTGGGGCTGCTCTGAGGAGTTGTAGGAGCTGTGACCACCCTGTTTGCCCCTTCCTCTTCTCTGGTGGCCACTGTGTCACTGGTGGTGGTGACACACTGGGACTGTCCAAAATTGGTGAAGTCCTTGCTGCAGTTCATGAGCATTGGCACCAACACCGTGTTGTGGAGGGGAGAAACAAAGGACAGGACCCCATTTCTCTGGCCCCCCTGATGGGGTGGGTGTAGGGCCACACTGAAAACAAAGCCCTGGTGGCTCTGCAGAGACTCAGAGCCACGGTGGAGCCTGGATCCCATCAAAGATTCCAGTGTGGATCCTGATGTGGATCCCGGCCCCACGGGCTCACAACTGGATTGCTGCTGTTCTCTGTCCAGCAGAGATCCAGGATCCAGATCCTGCTGTGCTCAGCTCCTCCCTGCCCTGTCCCAGCTCCATCACCCACAGCAGCCTGGTTGGTCCCTTTTGCTTTGGAACAGCTGGAATTCCACCACGGCCGAGTGACCTGTGGGACACGAGTGTGGAATGCTGGGTCCTTCCCCCATCCCAGGTGCTCTGCTCTGCTGTTGGATGATCTCACAGGCTCTCCCTTCTCCCTAGGCTCGGATGGAGGTGGATGCTGATGGAAATGGTGCTAAAATATTTGCTTATGCTTTCGACAAGAACCGCGGAAGGGGCTCCGGGCGCCTCCTGCACGAGCTGCTCTGGTGGGTATTGGAGAGAGACAAACTGCCAGGGGTCACTGCCCCCAGCTGACCCCCCAGCTGGGGGGTTATTTCTCTGCCTGTGGTGCTTTAAGTCCTCTCAGGAGGGTTGGAAACCAGAGATCTGTTATAACTTGGTTTGCCCTGAGTCCTCACACAGCACAGCCTGTAAAGCCTCACAAGCAGGGAGAGCAGTGAGAGGTGAGTGTGGGTCACAGAACTGGCTAAATCTGAGAAATGCTGCTCAAACTGCAGCTTTGAGGGGGAGCAGGGGATGGCTCCACCTAACAGGTGAACACAAACACACTGAGGGTTTGTTGTGGGTTGGTTTTTTCTGTCCAGTGAGAATTGGCAGAGCCCTGGAGAGAGGGGACCTTCTGATAAGGGCAAACTTTGGGGTGTTCTGTGTGGCTTTCTGCAAAGCTGCCTGAAGTGATGCTGCTGATGGTTCATGTCTTATTTTCCATATTCTCCATATCATTGCTTGGAATCCCCCATGAGTGCACATGAATTTTGGGGGCCAGCTTCCTCCCTTCTGAGAGCAGCTCACCCCCAGAGCTGATATTTTGCTCTTTCTAGGTATGAGTTTGGCAGATTCTCTCTGCTAAGGAGAACAGTTACTTCTTTTAAAACCCTTTTTTTTTGAAAAATTGAGCATGTTTTCTATTCAGTTCCATAAACTGTCTTAGAAGTCACAGTGCCCAGAATGTGCCTGTGCTTTCTTTATCATTCCAAGTTACCTTTTATCCCCCAAACCAGGCTTGGAGGGAGACAGGAAGAATATGAGACTATTATTATTATTTACAATCTGCTCATTAAATATGGATTTTAACCTGCTTCTGTTAATGTTTAATCTTGTTGCACACATAACTTGGGTGAAATGATGAAGTTGGCTGCAGCATGTGGAGTAAATCACTGTCAGCCACTGCTGTGAACCTCACACACTAATGATTGTGAGAAGCACTAAACAGCACCTTAAAATTGTTCAGGCTGATGGTTGAAGGCTGTGCAGGTGACGACAGTCCAGCTGTTTGCTCATGACACAGCCCAGTCATTGCCTCTTCTGCTTTGTTTTACTCAAATTGGGAAATAATTCAAATGTATTCAGTTAGGAAATTCAAATTGTGTCACTCGAGCGTGTGCTGGGCTTAAAAATGAGGGGTTGTGTGTAATGGGGATTTTGGAGGGGCACAGAGCTGGGGGCTCAGCTGCCAGGCAAGTGGAGCTGCACTTCTGAAGCTGCAAAGTCAAATTTTTCTAGAAAATATGAAATATTTCAGCTGTCTCTGTAGATTCAGTTTGGTCCCTTCGATCTTTAATCACAGCCCAGTGTCCTGCAGGTCAGTGACTGAGTCCCCAGTGGTGTTTGGCTGCAGGTGCTGTGTAATTCCTGCCCCTCCTACAGATCAGTTTTACTCACGTGCTCTGAGCACAAACCTGAGCTGGGGAGGGGTGGCAGGTCCTTCCCTTGGTCAGGAGGAGCAGTGCTGGAGGTTTTGGAGCCTTTGAAAGGCAGGAGAGCTGGGCAGTACCAGGCATTGCACTTCCCAGTGCCAGCCTTCACTCCTGGGGTAACTGGAAAGCAAAGAACATGAATTACTCAGATATAGGTGTGTGATTTAATTGTTCTCTGCACATGGACCCCAAAAAATCCGAAAAACCAACCCACCTGTGTGCCTGTGGTTCAAGATCAGTGAGCAGCAAGTGTTAGATGCAAATAATGCAGATTTTTAAATTTTTTTGATTAATTTTCTTTTTAATTTATTAAGCAAATATCTTTGTTCGTGTCATGAGGCCCTTGGGACAGAAAACTTGTAGCTGCTGGAGCTGCAGCTGTGACAGGGACATTCTCCCCAAGCCCTCCTGCCCTCTGCAGAGAGGGAGCAGGTGGGAACCGAGAGCTGAAAAATCCCCACATGTGCTGCAATAGTTCTTACAGGAAGGACTTCCTGAAAGTTCTTCAGCCTCTCTGGTGCTTGCTGTGTTTTCCACATGGACTTCTGCCTCCCCCAGAGCAGGGTTTGGTGTCCCTGGCTGGGGACCTGCAGGAGCCTGTCGCCCTTTGTTCCCTGTGCAGCACCCCCAGCTCGCTGTGCTCTGCTGGGTGCAGAGATGTTCCCTGGGGAACAGCAGCAGCAGGAGATTAGTCATGAGTATATCACCAACTGCTTGTTCAAAAAGACATCTCAGACCTGATTTCTGGGGTTTTTAGGTGTTTTTTTTTTTAGAGCACTTACCATCCTGCTGCCTGAAACCTGCTCTGCTCTGGTTCCTGGAATTGCTGTGTCTGTTCCGAGCTGCTGAAAAACCAGAACAGTGTCCTCTTAATTCCTTGGAAAGTCCTGGTTGAAGTGTTTTCCCTGGCATCTTGTAGGAGCTCAGGGAGCATCCTGGATTTGGCACTGCTGGTTCTGGTACCTCAGTCCAGGGGTGTGTTAACACTCACAGCTCCCCAGCAAGGCCCAACTTCCATGTTCCCTGGGGCCTTTGTCACCCTTTGTCACCTGGGGCCATGGAAGGGCTGACAGTGATGGAGCTGAGTGTGGTGTCAGACAAGGAGGGGAGGAGGGGCTCGCTGTGGGAGGGGATTTGGTCAGGATTTGCTTTTGGGGGGTTGTGGGTCTGGGCTGTGTAGGAGCAGGGGTAGGTCTGAGCCACTCTGCTGTGAATTCCTGGTGTCAGGGACAGTCTAATCCTCTCTCTTTCCCCAACATTTCTAAACTCTCATTATCTAATCCATTTAAAAATTATTTCTTAACTTGGTCTTGGACTCCCCTTCCTTTTCCCCCTGCTCAGTTTGCTGTTGCTCTTCTGTCTCCTCTGGGATTCCTTGTTCATATTTATCCCATCCCTCCAGTTGTCACTTTGTCCCAGGCTCAGTAAGCACCTGAACTCCTTCCCTGTCTCCATATCTGGCTGATGCTCACCCTCACTTTCCCTCCTGGCACCTGTAGCCCTCAGGATTCCTGATTCCCTTTGCCAGACCTTTCACTGGCCTTCAACAACTCAAAAGTAGCTTTTCCTGCTGTGGTTCCCCACTGCCAGAGGGCAGGGTTAGGTGGGATATTGGGAGGAAATTCCTCCCTGTGAGGGGGTGAGGCCCTGGAATGGATTTCCCAGAGGATTCCCCATCCCTGGAAGTGTCCAAGGCCAGGTTGGAAAGGGCTTGGAGCAACCTGGGCTAGTGGAAGGTGTCCCTGCCCATGGCAGGAGAGTGGAATGAGGTAAATTTTAAGGTCCCTTCCAACCCAAACCAGGTTGTGATTGTGATTCCTCCTTCAGGGCATTTCAGCAGACCCTTTCCATAGTTTGTTTGCTTTTAGGTGTGTGGTTCCTGTTTTTTCCCCCAAAAGAAGGATTTTAGTCATTTTACCTTCAAAGGGAAGAGCTGTTCCCTGGAGGCCCAGGAGGTTCCAAGCAGGAGGCTCCAGGCTCTGTCCTTGTGCAGGTCTGTCCTTACAGGAATTGTCCTGTGGGAGCTGGAGCACAAGCTCTGTGTAGGTGCTGCTTGTAGCCTCTCCGAGGGAATTGGACTCATTAAAATTTTTAGGAGGTTTTGGACCATGTGTGAATATTTTACTCATTAAATTCTAGGAAATTTTGTGACATGTCTGAATTGCAAGTGGTTTTTTCCCCCCAGGGTATATAATTTAGTTGCATCTGGATGGATTTTGACCAAGAAAACAAAATCCTACATTTTTCATTGTCAGTCACATTGCAATGAGTTTCCCTGTTCTGCTGGGTAATGCTGAGCTCTGTGAAGGGGAGAAGGAGAAAGTGGGAATTTTTGAACTTTGGTAAATATCTCTTTAAAATTGAATGAACTTTTTAAACTGAAATGTTCAGTAAGGGCTGAGCAGGACTCAGTGTCCAGGCTGGGCTTGGGTGCAGCTGGGAGAAGCTGTTGGAAGGGTCTCCTGGGAGGAGGATAACCCTTTGTCCTTCTTCTCCCTGTGCTGGGAAGTTCCTCATGGCATAGCAAACATGTGGAGGCTCAGCTTCTGTCCAGGCTTTACCTTTCAGGTGGGATGGGAATTCCCACAAGAAGTGAAAGGGAAACTTGTCCAGGTGTGAGGGTGTTTGAGAGTGAACTTGATGAAACACAGAAAGGAGAGAAGAAGGTGGAATGGGAAATGGAGACTGTTAGAAGGCAGTAGGGAGGACTCACCATGCAGCCATCTCCTGGCTAATAGTCCTGCTTTGGGTTTTGGGCGAGTTTCAGGTGTCTCTTGATCAATTCTGGAGTAATTTCAGACTTTCAACGTGTTACACACAATTAGAGTCTAAAAAGAATTTGCATGCACAGTGAAACCTCTGTCCTGTTGCTTGTTAATGACATGTCTTCATAAAATAATGAGCTCTGTGACTCCACACCAGTGCCAGGCTTGCACAAATGTGTCTGATAGAGTTTCCTGTTAAAATAATAAACCAGTATTGGCACCTTTCAAGTCTGCTCTGTGGAACATGGTAATTCCATGGATCTCTTGCAAGTTGTAGTCTCTGGAACTGAGCAATATCTTTCCAATTACACTGTACCATGAGTGGCTCTTATTCAGCCCATTTATAATGGAAATAACCTGCTGGAACAAGTCCTTTTCTCCTGGGAGGTGCTCTGAAGTAGCCCCTGGAGTCCGTGGGCAGCCCAAGGTGTCCTGGGCCTGTGTTGGTGACAAAATGCAGCATTGCTTTGGAATGGGTGTGATCCTTTATTTTTTGGCTGTGGAGCCTTGGTCACTGCTCATCTTCCAGCTGGTTTTGTCTCCTGCAGGGAGAGGCACCGGGGAGGGATTGCTCCTGGATTTCAGGTGGTGCATCTGAACTCGGTGACCGTGGACAACCGCCTGGACAATCTGCGCCTCGTGCCCTGGGGGTGGAAGCCCAAAGCTGAAGAAATCTCTAGCAAACAAAGGTGTGTCAAAGTCTGCCAGGGGGTTGCCATCATAAAAAATGAAAGTATCTTAAATTGTTTCCTTCCTGTAGTGATTTTTGTCTTGGCAGAGCCTTTTTGATTTGACCTCGGACTCCTTGCACGTCCCTCTGTCTCTGGTGGTGTGTCTGTGCTCGCTGTTCCTGCTGTGCAGGACCATCCCACCCTGTGGTGTTATCCCAAGGTCCTGCAGTGCCAGGATCTGTCAGAGCAGTGAACAGGAGGCCTGTGTTCCCTCCCACCCCAGTGAATTCTGCAGTTCTCACTGCCCTGTGCCTCTCGTGCTCAGGCACTGGAATTCCAACACAACCTGTAGCAGCCAGGAGCTGCAAAATGCTTCTGCTTGGAACTGTGAATTGGGGTTGAACGGAGTCCAAGTGAATTCCTGGGCTCAGATCCCGTCACCTTTCACCAGCAGGTTGTGGGAGCTTCCTCCATCCCGTATTTCCCTGATGTTACTCAGCACATCAGACTTAATGTCAGGGTGGATGTGGTTAATCGATGGTGTGAGACAGTGGGAGACCCACAGGCTCCACATCACACTCTTCTCCTGAAACATTTGCAGTATCCTTAAGATCAGGGTGTTCAGAGCTTATTAAACTGATTTTGAGAAGATGTAGTGAATTACAAATGCTCAGAATGGTTGTGGGAGTACCAGAAACAGACTTCAAGGCAGAAATGATTCTGACTTGAAGGAAATAATTTTGCACAAAAATAATTTTGCTTGATGCAAATGTTTCTTGGTTGATAATTTTGAACTCCTGGATTTTACACTTAGGCTCAAATACCCCTAAAAATACCCAATATATGAGCAGTATGTGTAGTCTGAGGCTAAATACAATGTTAACTCTACTTGCTTTATTAATAAATTTGGAATCGGTTTCCCTGTGTGCTTATTATGAATTCATGTACCAAATTTGTGCTTGTTTTTTCCAGGGAACAAAGTCTGTATTGGCTGGCAATCCAACAGCTCCCTACAGACCCCATAGAAGAGCAGTTTCCTGTCCTGAATGTAACCAGATACTACAACGCTAACGGGGATGTCGTGGAGGAGGAGGAGAACTCCTGCACTTACTATGAATGTCACTACCCCCCATGCACAATGATTGAAAAACAGGTGTGTCCAGAGAGCTGGGAGGGAGCAAGTGAAGCCTTTGTGTCCAGGGATTTATTTGTTCCTTAAAATGTAAGGCTTTGCTTGTGCCACTCAGTTGCTAAAAGCAGTAGCCTTTAATCAGGTTTTCTTTGGCCTGAACCTTCAGTCCCCGTGATAATTTTCACTTGGAGGGAATGTAGGTGTGATTTGGAGCAGTGAGTGTTGTTGGGAGGAATGGGGGTTCTGCAGAGTGGACAAAAAGCCAGGTGGAAGCTTTTCCAGGGGAGCAGAGCTGGAATGAGTGAGCAGCTGTGTGAGACAGCAGGAAGCATTGTAAGAGGTTTTGGGCAATAGCAGAATCAAAAAATAACCTGATTAACCTTTCCTGAGCAGAGGGGGAATTTGAGTGGCCTTTACTCAGGGAAGAACTGGGAGGAAAGTGAGTTCTGTGCTTTGCTGTAGGTAGATAAAGCAAAATACAGTGAGAAATGAGGTGTCCAGGGGCTGAGCCTCTGTCACACAAATGTCCTTATCTATAAATGAGGGCCTTTCTTGTGATAGCAAATGCTGAGTGGGCTCCAATCACTGTGTTCCACTTTCTGCTTTGGGGAGGGGAATGTTTGCAAAAACCATCCCGAATTCCCTGTGTTTGACAAAGTGTGAGCTCTGCCTTTTCTTTGGATCAGAGTACAGGAGCTCCCTGGGTAACTGTTTGGCAGTGGCTGAGCTTGTGCAGCCCTCCTGATGATTTCTGAATTGAAGGTGTTTGTAGTTCAAAACTCAGGCTGACAAAACAGCAGCATTGTGAGAGCAGGTGTGAAGTGCTCCAATATTTTGTCTGTTGAGCCCATTCCCCAAGAGCAACTGTAAAACCAACCATATTCAGTCCCTTCAAAACCTCCTTGTTCTGTGGCAGTCATGGGGGGAGTTTGTGTTTCATGGAATCCCAGAGTGGTTTGGGTGGGAAGGGAGCTTAAAGATCATCTCCTTCCCTCCCAGCTGAAGAGCACCTGGGAGGGAGAGTAGTTCCAAAAGCCTGCCCTCAGTTTGGAATGGCAAGGAGCTGAGCTGGCTGAGTGCAGCAGTGGATCCAGAGATTCCTTTCCAGCTCCAAAGCCAGCCAGTCACCAGCATAAGCCTGAGTGCATAACTAATTCCTGGTTAACCCAAGTTCTGGGAAGGTTGTTTTAAATAGTGGGTGAATTTCTTAATCAGAATCCCAGACTGATTTGGGTTGGAAGGGACCTTAAAGCTCATCCAGTGCCATCCCCTGCCATGGGCAGGGACACCTTCCACTAGCCCAGGTTGCTCCAAGCCTCATTCAACGTGGCCTTGGACACTTCCAGGGATCCAGGGGCAGCCACAGCTTCTCTGGGCAACCTGTGCCAGGGCCTCCCCACCCTCACAGGGAAGGATTTCTTCCCAGTATCCCATCTAACCCTGCCCTCCTTCATCCTAAAGCCATTCCCCCTTGTCCTGTCACCTGTTTGTGACAAGCGTGAAAGACTTGATTGTGAACCTCCTTGGGAGTGATGGTGGGGCTCTCCTTGGGAATGCTGTGGGGGTTCTCCTTGGGAATGCTGTGGGGGTTCTCCTTGGGAATGCTGTGGGGGTTCTCCTTAGGAATGCTGTAGGGATTCTCCTTGGGAGTGATGTCAGGGTTCTCCTTGGGAATGCTGTAGGGATTCTCCTTGGGAATGCAGTGGGGGTTCTCTTTGGGAATGCTGTGGGGGTTCTCCTTGGGAAGGCTGTGGGGGTTCTCCTTGGGAAGGCTGTGGGGGTCGTCCTTGGGAATGCAGTGGGGGTTCTCCTTGGGAATGCTGTAGGGATTCTCCTTGGGAATGCTGTAGGGATTCTCCTTGGGAATGCTGTGGGGGTCCTCTTTGGGAATGCTGTGGGGGTCCTCTTTGGGAATGCTGTGGGGGTTCTCCTTGGGAATGCTGTGGGGGTTCTCCTTGGGAATGCTGTGGGGTTTCCCCTTGGGAATGCTGTGGGGTTTCCCCTTGGGAATGCTGTGGGGTTTCCCCTTGGGAATGCTGTGGGGTTTCCCTGGCCCCGAGCAGCCTCTCTGACCGTGTCCTGTGCTCCTGCAGCTGCGTGAGTTCAACATCTGCGGGCGCTGCCAGGTTGCCCGGTACTGCGGGTCGCAGTGCCAGCAGAAGGACTGGCCTGCCCACAAGAAACACTGTCGGGAGAAGAAAAGGACCTTCCAGCAGGAGCTCGGCCCGGAGCGGTGACCGGGCGGCAGAGGCCTCTCAGCAGCAGGATTCCTCCCCAAAGGCATTGGGCTCTTGCTTTTGCACAGTGTGACAGACTGCTTATCCAAGCCAGAGGCACTGAAGACAAACCCTGTGATGCTTGAGCAGAATGGCTGACTGGACTAAGCCAGCTCTGACTGGTGCTGTGGAAAGGGATTGGCTCTGCCCTTCCAGTATTATATTCTCAAGCAAAAAGACTACTGTGGAGGCTCCAGGCAGGAAGCTTCTCATTATTTATATGTTAATACGTTTGTAAACTCATGTACAGTTTTTGTTAGGAATTCTTGATAGCACTCATTAACTGTAATGTTCAGAGGAGAACATGTTGTTGGCCTAAAAGTTTAAAAAAAAGAAAAAAAAAAGAAAAAAAGTCATGTAGCAAAAGCTTTTTCCTCCCATGTGGCAGAAGTGTCTGTGGCAGTGCCAGGGCCGGCGGGCAGACCCGGCGTCAGCACTTACTCTGGAGAACTCTGCATGGAAGTTCTATTGGAAAAAAAAAAAACAAACAAAAAAAAGAGCAAACAAAGTAAAGGTTGGAATGAATCCTTGTCTGCTCTCTGGCTTTCTCCCGTTCCCTTCCAGCTGCTGGCGGAGCACAGTCACACCTGGATGTTGGAATTCCCTGCTGGGTGGGAAGCAGTGCCCCAGGAGCTGGTGTGGGGTGTAGGGACCATCTGGGATGTGTGTTCAGGCAGCTGCAGCCTCAGAGGGGCTGCTGGAGATGGGCCTTGGAGCAGCCAGGATTTGGAAAGCTCCATCAGCTTTCTGTTCCCAAACCTTTGTACCTGAAGGAGCTGTGGGGAAGCTCAGGCAGCAGCTGGGTGGGGATGTGGTGCCCTCGTGGCTTCCCTGTGAGCACAGCAGATACTTCAGTCATGTGCAGAGATGTTTCAATGAGCTACTATTTAATAATTTGAGTTATTTATTAATTTTTTAAGGAGTTGTCATCAGTCCAAGAATCACTTTTTGATATTTTTTGTTTTTAATGTGTTAATGAGTACAAATAGTCTGGGAGGAGGATTTCCTTTGCAGAGCACATGCCTATTTTTCTTTTCATGACTTATCTGAAAGCCTTTTTCTTTTTCATTTTTGCCTTAGAAATATAAGGACCATCAACTGAATTTTCTGAAGAACTAAATGGGTAATTTAGTGCCAGGTGTTAGTCTTGCTTCACAGTAGAATGTGAGCTGCTGAGTGCTTAATGCAGAGCCTTTCTTGGAGTGCTTGGTGAAAGTTTTTTTTGTAAAAGCCGTTTAGAATTTCCATTTTTCAATCAGGATTCACTGTGCTACTTCATGTTGCAGTGTTGGTCTTGCTTGTATTCAATTTGTTAAAAAATTGAACTGCTGTGGACTTCCAATATTACATTCTGTTTCTAATATCTGCACAGGAAGTTCTGAATTATTAACATTTGGGTGGGTTTTCATTCTTTAGCTTTAAGTTTCTTAGGAAATAACAAAGAACTTCTGAAACTTCCTGCTGGAAGTTCACTTTCAGGCACTTGGTCAAGTTGCCACTCTTAAATCATGGTTGTACTGTAATTTTTCTGTTCAGGAAGCCCAAAATGCCCTTCATTATGAAGAAGTCAAGCAGGACCTACTCAAATTTTCCTGTAATGGATGATTTTTTTTTTTTTAAGGAAACATTCAGTTCTTTGCTTTAAATGAACTGTTTTGCTGAATATACAATGAGACATAAGGAATATTTTTTTATATGAGGCAATCCATTGAAAAGGGCAGAAGTATTGCCTTTTTTTTCTTTTCCTTGCCTGTTTAAAAGGCTGCTATTTGTCCTGCCAATTTTCCATTTTATTACCAGGCATCATGTTTAGCAAAATGAAGTGCAGTCTTTAAACACTTTGAGCAGGGAAGAGTTAGTGCTGATGTTTGTAATGTGGCTGCAGTGAGGATGAGGACAGGCTGCAGAGCAAGGCCTGGTGGGGCAGGGGGGGAAGGAGGGAATGAAGGAGGGGATGGGACTCAAAGGGTTGGACTCAAAGAATCTTCACAGCCAGGATGGTGGGGCTTGGGGAATCCTGATCCCAGGAATGTGGGAGGAAAGGGGTTGGGAGGGTGGGGTGAGGCAGGTGGGGAGGGAAGATGCCCACGGGGTTAGAGGGCTGTGAACATCCCAAAGGAAAGAAACAGTTGCCCAAACATCCTGCAGAGTGAAATAACGCAGGTTCTGACCTCAGTGTGTGATGTTTGACTCCAGGCTGTCCTTGTGCTGGAGCAGGGAAGTGGCCACAGGGATTTTGACTCTTGGAAAAGACCTGGGGACTGCAATAAGGATGTGCCTGCCTGCACAGCAGGTCCCTGATGGGAGTGGGAAGGTGTGTGATCAATGATTGTGGCAGATCTTTGACCCTCTGTAAGGAGGGTCAAAAAGAGACTTCAGTGTGGCAGCTCCACTTCCTAACTCTGTTTTTTCAGAGGATGGAGCTCCTGTAAAGGACCTCCTTTCCTTCAGAGAATCCAGGCTGACAGGGATGTCTCTGTATGGACAAGTATTTAAAAAGCTCAGGTTGGGGTATGTGGTTGTATCTGGGAGCAGGCCTGGGCACTTCTGATAAAGATGACTTTCCAAGGACTTGCTCCTGATGGAGATTCTTCATCCAAGATGTTTCCTGCAGGAAAATCTGATAAATCCAGCTCAGGCTGGGAGGATGCAGCATTCCTGGTGCTGGCTGTAACAGAGGGGTGCAAACCCCTGGTAAGCACACCCTGAAATGCTGGTACAGGTACCCCCCAGGGTTCCTTATCCAAGTAGGGTGGTGTTGCCAATTCCAAACATTCAGAAGACACAATGGAAAATCCTGCCTGGCTTAAGGGACACAAAATTATAATGTATTGTTTGCCTTCTGCTATTTGAACCTTGAATACACCCATTGGGTTACTGTCTCAGGTTTTTCTCTGTGATTTAATTTAAGTGAAACTGGTGAAGGTAAAAGGAGCAGCTGTGAGACTTAAATGCTTGTGGGGGGCATGGAGATGGTGTGAGACACCACAGAGGGGCCAGGAGCAAAGCTTCACCACCCTGCAAAACAGCACTGAGGGGACAAAAAGAGGTTGGTGTGATTAAACAGCAACTTCTTACTCAGAGTAAGAAGAAATCCTTTATAAATTGAGCATATGTTCAAATGAAAAAAGATGGAAATAAGACTTGGCAGGTAAAATGTGGAAAGGGAGAAAAAAACCCCCAAAATAATGCAAAGAAAAGTGGAATACAAAGAACATTGAAGTCATAAAACTTGCATGTATAGTTTTGAAAAAATCAGGGGCAGGGGCACTGCTGGGGTCAGATGTGATGCACAGTAAAGGCCAGGGCTGACCTGGAGATGAAAGTCTCAGGGGAAGGAAATCCAGGGAATCGTTTGCAAATGTGTTCCCTGTGAGAGAGCTGGGGGAGTTCACACAGGAATACTTCCATATGGAGAACTCCACAGAGAATCTGTTCAGAACAGAAGTGCTTTGGGAAGAGATTAAAGTTCAGCTGAAATGAGCAGTAACAAGTTGCCAGGACCAGCCGGTGCCACCTGCGGCTCTGGGGGAGCTCAGGGGTGAATAAACTGAGCTCCCAGCTGGGCTGGTGCCCTGTCCCTTGGCACAATGGCACAGCAAATGGCACAGCAGCTCCTGGAAGGGGTTTCAAACTCCAGCCACCTGCACTTAGCGAATTCCTAGATGTGATGTAGCACCAATGGCTGAATATTGGGTGGGTTTTGTACAGGGAGGTTGTGCTTCAAAACTCTGCTGGAATTGTTTCAGTGGTATCAACGAGCAGGGAAAAGGGGATTTGAGTATTACAAGTCTGCTTGAACTTCCAAAATGCACTTAATCCTGACTTTGCTCAAGGCACTTGAGGGAAAAAAAACTGCTGATGGAAAAGGGGGAATGACATATGGACAAACAACTGTTTAAAAGATGGGAAAGGAATAGTTGAAGGAAGGGTTTTTTTAGTGGAGGGAAGTGAACAGTTGGATGCCCAATATATTAAAAAATAATTGGGAAAAGTAATGAGTGAGGAAGGTGACAACATCCACTGAGGAAGCTATTCGGTGTCATAACATAATAAAGGCTGAGTGAAGAATTGCAGAAGGGTGTTATGAGGCAGACTGGCAGATGAAATTCAGCATCAATAAATGTAGTGTTGGTTATGGGAAAACACCAAAAGGAAAGGCCTCGGCTGTTTTCACTCAGCAATGACACCTCTGGGTTGTGAAACACTCCTGCGGGAATTTCTGCCTGGGGAGCAGCAGCAATCCAGGCTCCAGGGGAGGACGGGGGAGCAGAGCCCAGCGCGGGTGTGAATTGCGGGGTGTGCTGCAGCCCGAGCGTGCAGGACCCATCCTCCGTCTGGGAGAGGAGTGGGGGAAAGGGGAAAGGCTCGGGGCAGGGGGGGCGATCCCTCCGTGCTCCGGAACAGCTGCTGGGAGGGCACAGCGATGTGTCTGCTCTGCAGACAGCGCGGTGAGCGCCGGGGGCTGGGGAAGGTCTCTGGGATGCACGGGGAGGATGCCGAGGGAAGGCTGGCGATGGTTCTCTCTCGTGAGCAGCTGCCGGGTTGCGAACAGCGATCCCGCACCGGCGGGGGCTTGAGCTGCATCCCCTTCCCTGGGGGAGGCGCGCTGGGAGGGAGCGGGGACAAAACCTGCAGGGACCCCAGGGTGTGCCCGTGGAGCCGGCAGGGCTGGGCGGCGTCCCCGCGGGCAAGGGGCGGCTCTGAGGAGGAAGGGGCGGCTCTGAGGAAGAAGGGGCGGCTCTGAGGAGGAAGGGGCGGCTTTGAGGAGGAAGGGGCGGCTCTGAGGAGGAAGGGGCGGCTCTGAGGAGGAAGGGGCGGCTCTGAGGAGGAAGGGGCGGCTCTGAGGGGCAGCACCGCCCCGGGCCCGCCCTGACCGGGAAGCAGACGGGCGGTGCCGCCCCGGAGGTGCCGGCCCGCCATGGCCGGGCCGTGCCGGACGCGCACGCTGCAGGTGGTGGACACGGAGTTCAGCGCGGATGCCGTGGAGTGGTGCCCGGTGGAGGGCTGGCACAGCATCCTGGCCTGCGGCACCTACCACCTGCGCCCGCCCGCAGAGGTGAGCCCGGCACCGCCCCGGGATGAGCCCCATCCCCGGCCCTGTCCGCCCGGCACCGCCCCGGGGAGAGCCCCATCCCCGGCCCTGTCCGCCCGGCACCGCTCCGGGATGAGCCCCATCCCCGGCCCTGTCCGCCCGGCACCGCTCCGGGATGAGCCCCATCCCCGGCCCTGTCCGCCCGGC